ACTCCATGATGGCCCGAGTGCCCAGAGTGGATTCATCGCTCAGGTCTCCCGCAAAGCAGGGAACGGATGGGAGGACAACAACAATCTTGTACTTCTCGCCCGCTCGTGCAGCACGAAGAATACGATCAACAATCGCAGCTCCAATCTTGTTCTGAACGGGCTTCTGGGCATCACCAGTTGCAGTAATGAAGAACTGGTTTTCGATGTAAACGAAGTGCTGACTGTTACGGATGATAGCTGCGTATGCGTCGGCGATGGAATGCTCGGTAGGCGTTCCGTTGCTCCACTTGGAAGCACTGCGTACGATCTGACAAACCATGTTGCCGCGCGGCTGAGCACCCTGGCGATAATTCATACGATCCTGGTAATGATGGATTTGGCCAGCCAGTTCACCACGAAGAACATTGCTGTAATCTGTGATGTTCTCCTTGATACCACGGAAGTTGAAGCCTCTCTCGGAGTCGCCGTATGCATGACCCCCGCTGTGATAGTCGTGGAGACCGCGGGTTTCCGAGTGCTGACCCTCTTGAGTAGGGGGAGGCGGGTAAGCCTGATTTTGACCTTGGCTCGTGGAGTATGACTGGTATTGAGATTGAGGCTGGCTCTTTTGGTGAGGGTACGCTTGACTCTGAGGCTGGGTGGGAGTCTGCTGAGTGTATGCTTGACCCTGAGATTGTGTGTAGGTCTGCTGACTCTGAGGCTGAGTGGTAGTCTGCTGTTGAGAGTACGCTTGACCTTGAGGTTGCGTATAGGTCTGCTGGTGAGAGTATGTTTGATCCTGAGACTGGCCATAGCTACTCTGCTGGGCTGATGTAGTACCCTGGCTTGAAGGAGGCCCAGGGGGAGGCGGAGGGAACGAATCACCAGTGTAGGTATAGTGGTGCTTTTCATCGTGACTTGGTGTATATGCCTGGTTTGGTGTGTATGCGGGCGGAGCCTGTTGCTGCCAGTTGGAATCTGCCTGAGAGCTGGGGTGGGGCGAAGTAGCCTGATATCCACTTTGATGAGACTCGGGCTGTTGCTGCCAGCTTTGAGTATGCTGGATATTGCCAGAATAAGCAGCAGGCTGAGGGGATGCGGGCTGGGGCTGCTGCTGCCAACTAGGGGTGCTTTGAGTGGCAGGCTGAGCGCTACCGCCATAGGAAGTAGTCTGCTGAGGGCTTTGCTGCTGATGAGCTTGTTGCTGCCAGCTAGGGGTCGCCTGGTTGCCGGCGCTAGATGGTTGAGCATTGCTAGATTGTGCCGCAGGCTGCGGAGATGCGGCTTGTTGTTGCCAGCTGGGAGTGGATGGGTTTGGGCTGGCCGGAAGAGCGCCGGGCTGAGCTGTGAATGTCTGCTGCCAGCTGGGAGTGGAAGGTCCCTGGTTTGGCGCTGCAGGCTGATGAGTTGGCCGCTGTTGTTGGCCCTGCTGCTGACCCTGCTGCTGACCTTGTTGGGGGCCCATAGAAGAGGTAGGGCGGCCGTACAAGTTCAGTTTTGTGTATCTAGCATTGTTGCGCGAGTAGTACTTGAGGTCATAGATGAAGTTCCATCGCTCGACAAAGTGCCGTCTCAGGTCTTCGACCACCTGCCCGTGCAAGCTGACTGAGATGTCTGACCATCCCATGCGGGATGTCTTCTTCCGATCCAACTGGTTCTTCTCCCAGTTGGCTACATCCTGGAAATCAAGCACTCTAGCATTGTTGTAATCCTGACCAGGGAAAACGATTTCGTTCAGGTCCTGGCCATGAACATCGGCGAGCGCGTGCTGATTAGTGTCCCAACGGCCGAAGCACATATCCAAGCCACCCATGAATGCCACGCGACCATCGATAAGGCAAAGCTTCTCGTGGTGGGCCCAGTAAAGGATGACATCTTCGTGCATACCATAGATTCCCTTGATGGTATCAGCGGACATCTTAGCCAGATTGCCTGCATCTAACGACAGGTTCTGAAGGGAAGATGCGATGGACGCTTCCAGCTCCTGACGATCAGGAAGATGGTCAGGGTGACGGAACACAGCGATGTTCTGATGGAGATCCTCCAGGTGGTGCTTTGTGTGATGGGAGGAAACTGCGCTTTGGATTAGCTATATCGCAGTAGCGTACGGTACCCTTTCTGAACATACGTGTCAATGCCTGAGTCACCTCCTTATAGACAATGATGTTGACGCGAACGCCTCGCTGCGCAGCAGCCAACAGCATTCGATCCAGTCGATACTGCTCGTTCTTCGCCGGAGGACGTCTCAGGTAAAGTTCTGGCGACAACCACCCTGGTTTTCACGTCAGTCAAAATGTCCATCACCTCACGACTGACACTCCCCAAAGCTTACAATCCAAGATCCAGATATACTCCTTCGCACTCTCCAAGGCCTTGGAGACAGCATAGAAGTATGCACATCCATCAACATGCCACTTGACTTCGTTGCCCTGACGTTCTGGTGCAAAGCTGCCAAAGCGGTTCTGTGTCTGTGGCTTGGTCGATCCATACTGCTCATAAGCCTGGGGGTCCAAGGCAGTTCCGATCTTCTGTGCGAACTCATTTCCGAGGTTCTCCAGTTTTCCGAACAATCCGGAGAGCTTGTCCTGCTTCTGGGGTTTCTGGGGTTGCTGATGATAGGTGGACTGCTGGTGCTGGTACTGTTGCGGGCTGGTGTTTCCGTACGACGGCGAGTATTGCTGGGCGGAACCTTGGGTCTGAGACTGGGTTTGGTGGTACTGGCTCTGGCTCTGGGGTAGATAATTCCGTGGTCAGTAAGGCAAGTTGAAAATGGTACCGTGCCTGAGATTCCTGATTTACCTGCTGCGTGTTGCTGGTACTGCCCTGCTGCTGCTGATGGCTCTTGTAGGTTTCCTTCAATTTTTGGAAAGTGTCGCCGACAAATCCCCTCGCGGTATCGCCGGATGTGCCCCGCGCTGAGTCGCCGTAGTAGTGGCCGTAGGCCAGGTCTTCCTCACGGTGGGACATGGGGACGACTGTTAAACCTGGATATGAGAGGAGGGTAGATGGTGTAACAATAGACCAAAAAAAAGGAAGAGAGGAAGGATGCTGACCGCCACGAGAGGGAAAGGATAGTTGTTATTATTATGTAGTCTCACGGAGGGTGGGGGAGGGGATCATCTGAGGCCAGAGGAATACGGTTTAGGGGAATACGGGGCTAAACCACGACGGTAAGACAGCCCCGCCAGTCCAGCTTATCCACCTTCTAGGCTTCCGTCTGGGTTCGAGGTTGTTGGTTTGTTTATGTTTCCTTGTGCTCGGCCACTGTCTGGTGGTGGTAGTTACTGTTGCGAATGTTCTCTGCTAGCCATGGCGGCTATTTGTCAACACTATTTAACTTGCACTTCTTTCTGCTGCTATCCTATCTTAACCACCGACATCGAGTGTTGCCTTGCAGGGCGGGGGCGATGCACCATCGCCTTTCTAGATCGCTGCAGTGTGGCTGTGCCGGCAATCATGGCGGGGAATCCCCAGTTAGCTTGAAACAACACCCGTACGGACCTTTACCTGACAGCCTCTGATGACGCATGATACGGTGATTCCAGCCCCTCTGTTGACTGTGGCTTATGTGGCTCTGCCACACCGCATCGTTCGTCCCGAGCATTGCGTCGCGCAAGCCCATTCAACATTTACACTGAGAGCGCTAAGAGTGTTGAGCTAGAACGCTCAAGTCTTGGGCGATCTTGGCACACGGGAATAACGCGGGCTTGTTGTCGCCAATCCTGAGACATGATCCACTTACATCGGTATAACGACAATAACATATGTGGTCATATACTCCATAGACCGAGAATATACAAATGTCTCAAGCCGATTTAACGCAGCTGCTCACGAATCTTAGCAGTGCTTTGCAAGACGGTTTGATGCTGTGAAAACCGCGACTATCCGACCACCCGCAAGTCGGACAATAACCAGCTTTCCGCGGTGCTTTCCGCGGTCGGATCCACTTCCTTGTAAGCGCAAAACTCCTTCGACCCTCATGTTCTGGAAGACTGGAATGCACCGCCAAATGATTCTCGAACTTCGCGAAGCTTTCGCGATGAGGACCCTTAGGGTGGTAAGCTAGACAGATTGTTCGTCGATTCTAGCAGGGAAAGAGTCCTGCGTGGAATGACATCGCATTCAGTGTCTTGGCGAGCATTCGCTGAGCATTAGGGACTCATTTGCTGTCAGGCCCGTGTGCGGATGCTGCTATTTAAGCCAGGACTAGCAGCACTAAATTCTACTGGGATAAGCAGAAGAAATCCTGTCTGCTTTCTTGGGAATGGATTGAGCAGGAAAAGTCATTCGTTGTGCAATGAGGAAATATATTCCAGAACAATGACCCACCGGATTCTCGCAGCTTTTCTCAGTATGTCTAGCACTTCATCCCCAGTATAAGGGGCTTGGAACGAGAAAGAGCTTTCTTTCCTTGATCATAGCCCACTAGAAAGGATTTGCCGGTCATATCCGGGGCTTGTGGCATTACTAGAAGTACACTTGTCGTGGTCTTTTTGCGGAAGATTGTGCAGAATATATTTAATTCCATCATCGTTCACCGGGATCCAGATTCATAGCAATGGTCTAGTTGAGAAGACCAGATATTTGTGACTTGGATCACAAAGTTATCAGATTTTTCGAGTTCTGACAGAGCGAGACCATCCAAAGGGTAACTTATTGAGGATGGCGTCATTGTTTTGATTGCCCCTCGGTATCGTCGGATGGAGAGCAACCCCGCACCGAGGTGGAACAGCCAAAGCTGTCAAATTTCTTCAGGTGTACTTCAAGTCAGACGCCTCTGACAGGGAGAACCGAAGACTGCGATCTTGAGAATGGCTAGCCGCGATAGAAAGTCCAAATATACTTACCGCGTAGATAAGATCTTCGCTGTCATGTTGTGTCTAAACCTAGAGTTCGTCCTTGGATGGCAGCAAGCGCTGCCCCTCACGGACAGGCCCCCGCAGCAGACGGACCCCGCACCGCAGTTGGAGAAACCAGAGCAGCAACAATTATTTAAGAATGACATCGGCCCATATCTTGACCACTTGTTGTCTAATCCTGCGCTGCTACCATTGACCCTCTGAGACCTATCCCCAAAGGACCTCATCTATTTGATTGTAACATCAAACCAACATCACAATGTCTCTCGCAACCCTCGACGTAAGTTGTCCCGGACAAAACCCACGACGTCGATGACGTTGTACCAGGGAAGTCATTTCCGCACGTACTAATCAACAGCGCATCACTAGATTTCCCAACACCCCTACCTCCCCTCCGCCTCCGAGACGCTGTTCAAGGCCAAGGCATCGAAGAAGCTGAGCTTCGAGCAAATCGCCGAGCACATCGGTCGCAACGAGGTTGCCGCGGCCGCCCTTTTCTACGGCCAGGCCAAGGCATCCCCCGAAGACATCGACAAGCTGTCCTCCCTCCTCGATATTCCCCGCGACCTTCTGGAAGAGCAGCTCAGTGGCTTCCCGGATCGCGGCCGCTCGGTCGAGATGCCGCCCAAGGAGCCGCTGATCTATCGATTGTATGAGATCGTGCAGAACTACGGGTACGCGTACAAGGCTGTTCTGAATGAGAAGTTCGGGGATGGCATTATGAGTGCCATCTCGTTCTCCACCAAGGTGGAGAAGGAGACGGATGAGGCTGGAAACAACTGGGCTGTTATCACTTTGAGAGGAAAATGGTTTGTCAACAGGATTGTTTAATTAATTCTTGCATGAGACTTGCTAACTGAGACTACGACAGGTTGCCTTTCTCACGGTTCTAAGTATGATTATGTGAGTCTAGGGAGGCGGTAGTAATTTAAATGCATGTAAATAATATTTGAAAGAGGTACCATATTTCATCTGTTCCTGCGCATGAATTTCATTCCTATGGGTAGTATCAATGCGCAAAGTAGAGAATTCACAGCCGGCGTCGAGTGACACCTACCTTCACCCGCCAGGTTGGGCGTGTGTCATAGTGAAGTGAGGATGGCCTCCATAACACACAATCCTTGCGCATCCACCCCATTGACTGACTCACCTTCCAACACCCTCAACCTTATATCCAGATCCCTTCGGCTGCCTCGTTCTTTTTATTTATCACAATTCTTCCCACTGCAATCTTCTCAAACAGTGACATCGAAGATTTCACTTCAAGCCCTCAACTATTTCTCCGCGGCCATTGTGGCCTACATTCCTATCTTCCTCCCCTTTGAAACCCATTGAACTGTTCAAAACTCAGTCAGAATGTCCGCTCGTTCAGGCCACCAGGCAGGTCCTTCCAAGGTGACCAGCGCTAACACAAGCCGCTACGGTGTCACTCGCTCGGGACCAGGCCCCGTTAATGCAGGCCGTGCTACTACAGGACCCTCGCGCACAGGAGCCCCTGATGATGGCCGTCCCATTAAAGGTGGCCCTCGCGCTGGTCCTTCTCCCGTAGTGAAGTCTGGTGGAAAGCCCAGTAAGTCACGTTCTTTGCATATAAACTAACCAGGGGCTGAATCATCTCTCGCAGGTCCCTCAGTTGCAGCGAAGCCCGGCGAAAGGTCGAATGTTACCAAGCCCTTGAATCCTCGTCGCTTTGTCCCAGAACCCTCTCGCGCAAAGCCTCCTGCTGCAGGACCAACCACCGCAATAGGTCGCCCAGCTGCAGGCCCTATCACCAGAGGTCGTGATCCCACCAGTCGTCCTATCGCCGAACCTGCCTCCACACAACCTCCTACCACACAGCCTTCTGCCAAAGTCGACACGCCGGCGACGCCCTCGAGCACAAAGCCTTCCGAGCCCACCAGAGTCTCCTGCACGTATGCCAAGTGCGGCAAGCAGTTCCCCAGCAAAAGAGACATGGACATTCACAAGATCACCGAGCACGAGTACTGCGAGCGGTGCGACGAAGAGTTCCCGGATGAAGAGCGCTTACTTCTCCACAAAATCATCAGCGTCAAGCACATCGTGTGCCCCGTCTGCGGTCTGGAATTTCGTAGCTCGGGTGGCCGGGACGTCCACATTCGTCAGGTAAGTGACCAGAAACACTTTCTTTTTGGCTGCTAGAACAGAGCGAGAATGAACCAGTTTGAGAACTGACACAATACTTGATCGACGACAGAAACATCGAGCAGAGCAGACCATCGACTGCCGCGGCTGCACCATGAGTTTCAAATCCGCCAGCGCCCTGATGCAGCACATCGAGAGCAACGGCTGTCGCAGAATCCCACGGGCTCGCCTGCTCCAGCAGCAGGAGACCCGTCTGATGATCGCCGAGATCCTGGACGGTGACCGGCCCATCCGGCCCGAGGATCTCGACAACGACGACGGTGGTGTCATGCTGGATGGGACACCGCTGAAGTCCCCCGTCAGCCCCAGAAGAAGTCCAAGAAACAAAACCTCCGACGCGAAATCACCCACCAGCACTAATCCCAGCCCCGGTGCAGAAACGTCGGTGATGAACTCTCCCTGCCCGCTGCACCAGCAGCAGCAACAAAGTATCCCGTCCTCTCCCTCCAACAAGACCGAGAAGAGCATGGCGACCGCGATGTCGCGACTTTCGTTGGACGACGCGGACCCCGACGCCAGCGATAGTGCGCTCATCTCGCTCCCCACAGCCACCGAGCTCGAGCACGACCAGACAATGGAGTGGAGCCTCTTCGGCAAGCCGGTCGCCTCGGCCGGGGAGATCCTCCGCGAGATTACCCCGGGCTGGGACTCGAGCAAGTTCCTGAACATGTGTCGTACGCGTTACGTGTGCCACTGCCGCGTGAGCTACAAGCGGGTGGAGGATTTCGAGACGCATATCATTGAGGAGATGCGCGATAGGAAACCACTGGGGTGCGATCTTCTCTTTCTCTGTGCCCTTTCATTGACTCGTACAAGACTAACCACTTCCGTACAAACAGATGCCCCAGATGCTTCCGCAACTTCAAACGCTCGTCGGACCTGGTCGCGCACATGGAGACTGGGAGCAATCGCTGCAGCGTGGCCTCCGGGTCCGCCTACCACCAGGTTTTGGATCAATTGACCGGCGGGGTGGTCCGCGTCGCCGGCACGCTCCAGGATGGCACTATCAAGTATGAAGCCGGCAACGTGGAACCGCTGTACGAGCCGGGCAATGAGACCACTCTTGCTGGTATCGATACGAGCTACACTTTCAGAAGCCCCGTCTGGTGATCAAAACGGGTGGGTTGAATCCTTATCTGCGGTTATTCTATTATGGATTCTCAGGACGCTTGCACTCGGGGGGAGAGTCGCGTCTTGAACTGACTTCTAAACTGCGCTGTCCCTGGTTTTCTCCTTTGGCCTTGTATTTCCTTTCCATTCCTTTCCATTCTCAAATGCATCTACAAAATCATTACGATGTATCTCATTTGCGGTCCGTCTTTCATCTGATGCTTCCGAAATTGGTTCATAATTTCAATTGTCTTTCGATATTCCATTATCTCAGCCAAAGAAGAACATCTCGTTACGTTACTCTATGCTGTCTCCGCATATTTACAGCACAGCATATCGCAGTACTCACCCCCACAAAACCAATGAACCTCCCTCCCTCTGAGCAAAACCCCACTTAAAAGTAAAACCATGCATAGAAATATCTCTCATAAACATGTAGACCGTATACAGAAAAAAGGTAGGGGTATAAACATCAACATCAACACCAACACCAACACAACAGGCAACACCAGCACCTGTACACCAGCCGCAAACCCGAAGACCAGAATCGCATCGATCTCCGCCCTGCGCAAGCCCCATCAACCACAACCGTCTATCTCATCGATCATCGACCATCGCACGCATCAAGTATCATCCCATCCCCACATCGAAGACGACCTCATCGCACTCCCCGTCATCCCGTCACCCCCTTCAAATCGAAATGAAACCCAGAAAGATCAGGTCTAGCAACACTCCTCACAGCACTCAAAGCACAACAACCCCGCGCAACTATTTCGCCCCGGTAGCCGTTAGCTTGTTACCCACAAAAAAGAAAGGGGTCGGAAGAACATACACGCCACAGCACACGCCGCCGCCGCCGCCACCGCGGAGGTTCATCTGCATTTGTTCTTGGGTGGACTGCGCGCCAGATATTAGCTTGTTGTTTTGTTTAGGGGAAACATGGGCGGCGGGGAAGAGGGGGTTGGTGCAGGCAAGGGCAAGGACAACGCACGGGCTGCTCGGTGACGACGCGCTCGGTGGACGGGGCCTGGGGGCTCGAGGGTTGCTGCATGGTCGTGGGCATCATGGTGGCCGTGTTGGGGTTCCAGGTGGGAGCGCCGTCGGCGGGGGTGGAGTTCTTGGTGGAGGCGAAGAGGTTGAACATCTTGATCTTTGATCTTTGGTAGTAAGTTGTGTTGATCGTAGGTGTGGTGGAGGCGAGTAAGGTAGGTAGGTTTGTTTGTATTTTAGTCTATGAAGATAAAGACTGAGAGAGAGGGAGGTGAGATGAGACGGGGATAAGCTGACACGGACGGGCACTGCAAGGGTATTTATGTTGGAGAGTTCTTCAAGGTTCACTCACTGGGCAGGGCAGTTGTCAATGGATGGGATCTTAGTTTACTAGGTAAGTTTGATTTGGTTTGGTTTCAATGGGTCAGGGGTCCGACCCATCCTGGGGCGCCCTAGGGTGCAGTGCACTGGTTGAGCATACAGTACGGTAACAGTATTATACCAGCACAGCCAGTCACAGCCACGAGATGCTCCACGTCAGCGGCTCAGCCCTGCCGCGCTTGCGTTTCTACAGGTGGGGCAGCAGCAGGCCCTGGGGCACTTTTACCACTAGTCTACCACTGCACGTACAGAATCACCTACCCAGCAACTTGAATGCATTCTTCTCTCTGTCTAAACTTAGAATCGCTCAACTCTTCCGTGCGAGTACATACCGGTAGTACTCAAGCGCGTACAGCCATGCATCTAACTTACCAATAGCACCAGATGATCATGCACGCACACACACACCTTCCATTTGACCATCTCACCCCCATCCTCACCCCAGCAGAGCAGAGTAGAGCAACACCAGTCAACCCGATTCGCAATTCCACCCCTCCAACCCCCCACTCCCCTCAACCGCCAAGACCGCCAACCCCCCTTCTTCGGATCAACCAGGCCACTGCAGGAAAACAAAAAAATCAGGCAGCCTCAATTTTTCGCCCGTACTCCGTACCGTGTATTCTACGTATTCGTTTTCCCGCCCGGGCTTTTCCGCCGGGCGATGCCAAGAACCACTATCGAGGAAGAATCCCCCCCGTCAAGCTTCCGAGGTCGATGGCAAAGCTTTTCGCTGCTCGTCTGGGTTTCTTGGGGAGGCGTCACTGCGTCAGTGAATTCCCGTGGAGTCGGACGTCGTGCAACAGAAGAACGTGCTATTCTTAGCAAGAATGGTGTCGCCTATCCTGTCTGTGGCTGGGTGGTTGGTTCCTGAAACCACCTACTGGTATTCTGGTGGAACGATTCGAGGATTTCCCCCCCAACAATGAACTCCGGATCAGCAGAGCCGAATTGAGCCCTTGCATTGTTTTGCCTCTAGGTGACTGCGTGACTGGTGACTGGCGACTGGTGACTGGGTCCTCTGGAGGCAGAAACATTTTCCCCCCGGCTACGCGATCATTGGCTGACCGTTGTTGAAACAAACCCTCACAAATTACCGTTGCGGTGACCCCGAGCTCTCTACGGAGTAGTCCAGAGTACTATTAACTTGATCGAGGTGAATTTCGGGGCCTAAGTTGATGAACCCAAAGTCACCCCGTCGAGGCAATTATCGCTAGTTCGGCTATCTCTTTTGGCTCCCCGTTATGGGAAGGAAATGGATCGGCCTCGCTCTTGAAAGTGTGGCTGTGTGCACGCCTCGGGGCGCGGGCTCGGGGGCTAAAGCCACACACCGCTTGCGCGGCGGCAAACCTGCTTGATGCGTACGGGAAGGATAGTATCCCTCGTGGCGCCCAGTGTTCTAGGTTTCTGGACATTGGGTTCATCTGGGAGGAGTGGGAAAGTCGACCATCAACTAAGTGCATGAAATCCCTCTGCGTTTGGCAACGAGATGTACTACCCATTGTCATCCCCAATGTGATAACGGGCATTAGCGCGGTTGGGGGCGGAAGCCGCGCGCCAGACTCATGTCTTTGGATGAAACACCAGTTTCTAGTCGACTGGTCTGGATTCTGTCACTCAATATCTTTCGATCAGGGGATCATCGGCATTGCCCTGTCAATCAAATTTACCCGCCGCGGAGATGACACAGAATCTGTCTCAGGCATCTTAGTGGTGTAACCCGAGCACGCTGCAACTACCGGCTTTGCTCTTAGATACAACGCGAGTAATTGTGTTACAATTGAAACATCAGCCAACCTCAATACAGGTCTACCATAAATCTACAACATCTCTGCTCAAATATCAAGATCCGGAAGCCAGCGTTCTTTCCACTGTTGCAACCACGTCTTGTACAGCTCGAAATCGACAGGCCCAATCGTGCCCATGACTTGACTATGGGCAATCGCGTTTGTCGTTTCGAAAGGTGCGGCATTGGCACCTTGTTGATCAAGTAGGCTCTTGAAGAACCCCAGCAATGGAATAGCCGGCAGACTTTCGAGACGTTCGTGACTTGCATCATCCGAGATCTGTTGCAAATCATTGACCCATTCTTCAAGCGGAACCATCTTGGCTTTGCACGCTCTAGCCACCAGGGGAGCAAATAACTCCCAATCTTTGGGCTCCGGGTTGACAACGTGGTACACCGTGAGTCCGGTAAGATTCTGCTCCTCGTGGCGGCGTTGAACTATCTGCACAATAGCTTGAGCAGCTAGGTCCTGTATATTGAAATGTCAGCAACCGCCGAATCTTGTTCAAAGGCATGCCAAGATGTGTCGCTCGGAAGCTCAAGAACTTACAATCGGGATCCAATTAACCTTTATTGCTCCCAAAGCATCTGGGACCTTGCCGATGGTAATTGACGAGCGGACCATCGACGGAAACCAGTCCCGCGGGTTCCACATCCCTCCTCTGGGAGATGAGGGACCGCCCAGCTGACCAATGCGGTGAATGCTGATACGAAGGTTGCTGCGCTGGGCTGCGATTCCGCACAGGGACTCGGCCACGAACTTCGACTCAGCATATCCCAGTTCTTGCACCGCCGAGGCCTCATGCAGTGTTTCAGGAATTGTTGATCCATGGGATGCTTGCCATGCCCCGACCGTCGAAACAGATGACATGTAGTGCAAGTGAGCCTGACGAGGGGACTCCTCAACCAGGTTCAGGAGGCGTCGCAGCCCCTTAAGCATAGGGTCTTCAAATGCCTTTAAAGGTTTATGGAAATCAACTGGCCAGGCGTTGTGAATATAGACATCTGCTGTGTCCCGTAGCTGACGATACCGAGCAGGTGCTAGCCCCAGCATTTCATCGCCTAGGCTGACCTGCCAGAAGTGAACCCGTGAGGTTTCTGTGATCCACCCACCTGACAAGCCCCTTTCCTGGAAGTTATTCACCTGGCGGTCAGCTGCATCGGCGCTGCGGTCGAGGCAATATACATCTGCAACCGACGGGATTTGCAACAACTGATGGAGCAGGCGACTACCGAGATCACCCGTCGAGCCCGTTAGCACGACCGTGGTACCGCCGTGGCCAAGATATCGAGAGTGATCCCAGACAGAATGGACAAGCCGATCGGTTCGCGTCCATTGGGCATCTGAGCTCTTTTTGCTTGGCTCATCACCACCAACATGTCGACTAAGTCTGTCGGCAAGACCTTGGATGGAGCCTGCTTGGTAAATCTCATTGCTTGACCAAACCATAGCTTTCCCAGAGGGGTGCAATTTCTTTGATGCATGCTGCAACATTCTCGACAATTCGGTTACCTGCAGTGAGTCGATCCCGCTACCAACTAGATCATCATTCTCGCCAACATCCTTCAACCGGAGTCGCTGGGAGAACACTCGTAAGAGCCACTGCTTGAGTGCGTCTCCACCCGAGCCCTCAGGATATGCTCCAACCTTGGCATCGTGCACTTTAGAAGTTTTAGAGTCTCCAGACTCATACAAAGAGTCCAGGACGGACTTGTAATCGTTGGCAATCTCGCGACGGCGCAAGGATCCCTTTGGGGATCGAGCGAACGGTTTATCGCGAGATGTAAGAGCTATGTGAGTGTCGAAAATACGTGCATAAGCAGGGAGTGCTTCATTGGCCTCATCCAAAAGTGACCCAAGCTGCTGTCGAAGCCATCCCTCGGTCCAGTCCTCGGGAAGGTTATCCCACGCGGGTTCCAGAAGCAATGCGGCTTGATGACGGTCCTGGCCAAAAATGGCCGCACGGCTGATCAGTTGGTGTCTCTCGAGGATCTTCTCAGCTTCGATAGGATTGAACTTCTCCCCGTTGCTCATGACATTGATGTCATCGCCTCTGCCGCTGAAACGCCAAAGACCAGATTTCGTTGGATGTGGAGTGAAAAGATCGCCCGTGCGGTACTCAGATAGATCTGGATAGGAATAGAAGATTCCGTGATACTTGCGTGACTCAGGCCTGGGAATCACTAATTCAAAGACCCCTTTCTCGACTTCGTCCATCCGCACCCCGAAGGCGGGAACCCATTCCAGATAACACCAATCAGCTGGATCCTCGCAGAGCAAAGCGGGCGTCCATCCCGTCTCAGTGCTCCCCAGCACAGTCTGTAGACGTGTCAGCGATGACAATTGGTCCCCAGCGGATTGTGACATGGGCGCTCCGCCAAAAGCCACGTCCTCGAATTGTGACAACGCTTTCCGGCCGCTCTCCTGTTTCCCAAGGTCCTCAATGACAGGTGCAGCTACCAATGTCCATTTGGGATGATAAGCAGACATGATCTGCGCAAATAGATCAGGATCAAACGGACGGTCGGGTGCAAGAACGAATGCTGTCTTGAAATAAATACACTCGGTGATGCAGACCAGGCCGACAAAATGAAACATGGGACCATAGTGAAACCGTAATCTCCCGTCCGCTCGCACATGAGCTTGGGCGAGCTTTCGTCCCTCTGGCACAGGGATGGTCCGGATATTCTCAAGAGTGGCGAAATAACCATGGGTTATGTTGATAGGCTTGGGTTTCCCTGTTGTTCCGGAGCTATGCAAGATAACCGGGGATATATCCTCGGCGGCGGCGAAATCGTGCTCGTACTTGTAGGGGTAGTTGTCACTTGGCGCATCTTGGAAGACTTCCCAGAGTGACGGCATACGCCATTTCTGGAACCCTTCTGAGCGGTTCCTTTTGACCTTATCCAACATCTGTCGCAGTTGCTGCTTGTTGCTGGCGTCGACCATTACTGAGCAATCTGTGGCGTCGAGCAGATGCTGGAATGCGGTATGAGAGTTCCGGGTGGAGAGAAGCAATGCCTATGTTGAATGAGCTTTCTAATTTATGGGAGGAAATCCTGCTTCCACGAACCGTGTTTCCTGTTTTCATGCAGGCCAATATAAACACCGCGTATCGCACATCATTGGTCCCTATATAGGCGAGGACATGTCGCTTCTGCTTGGCCCGATCGCCCAGCTGCTGGTCAATCCAGAACGCAATGCGATTGACAGCATGGGCCAAATCCTGGTAGGTGATGCTTCGCCAATTATCGGCCGAGTTCATGGAGACTGGATGAATGCAGTACAGCTGATCTGGTTGAGTTTCTGCCAACTCGTCCACCACCTGGTGGAGGAGCCGGCCCGGAGAAGCTTCTGAACCCATTTTGAGGGAATTGATACGACGATATCAAAACAAGTTGATGCTAAATGCTGTGAAGAAGACATTTCCCGGGCGGATACGAGGAGGTAATATGTACTGTTGCTTTCTGCGGAGGTGTGACGGCATTGAAGCCTGCAAGTGCGCGACACATTCCTCATGGCGTGTAAGCGGCGCGCAAGGGGCAAACTCGTTACCGTTGGGGGAGGGCACAAGATGCCACGAGTTGCTGTTTTCTCGCAGCTGCATCAACATGACACCTGCTGGCAAGGCATCAACGTCATTGAAGTCTAACTTCAGGGTCCATCCGCTGCCGAAAGGCTGTCTGACTGGATGGTAACTATATTTGCGGCGATGATAGTCCTGCCGAATCCTGAGCTGCTCATTCCTGGGAAGCTCGGACTAGACCGCTCGAGAAACTCTTAAAGTTCCTTCTGGTCGTACTGTTCTAGAATGCTCCAAGGAAAACCGCCAAAGGTTAGCCTAATAGCAAGCTTTCGGTCACAGTTCGGAGCCAGTATATCAGGGACTTCACGTAACGCGTACCACGAGTTGCTTACCTTATTCATTGTGTTTCCTTTTTCCATCATTCGACATGCATCAGGCCGCAGTTGCTGCGTCATACTACAAACCTTTTTCTTGAACGAGTGTGAAAGAAAAGAGGAGGGTGCAGATCACCTGGTGCAAGAGATCATGCGGTCGATGTAGTAGATCCCGAGAAGAGGAAGGATGATCGCATTCCAATCAAGAGTTTCTGCAAGTTCTGTCCGCACTTGCCCGATATGGTATACAATTACCAGGAACGGCCAGAGGTGGCAATGCACCCTCAAGACGCGAGATCTGATCTAGAAGACCGATGCTTGTCGAATGGCAAACGGAATAGTCCCGTTGCAGGGGCCTAGCCGTCAACATCCCAGAAACCGCGCACTTGCACTGCAAAAAAAAAAAAAAAAAAAGAAAAAGAAAAATCCAGGTTGCCCTCCAACTATAATAACCAGCAACGCCCACATAATGCATCATCCCAAGAAATGAAATGCTAGCAGGAAACCGATATTTCCTTGGTTGACTTTGTGTCACCAATGGGAGGGCCCAACCACCATCAAAGGAATAATTCCAGGCTCTCCGTGTCCTCGGTCATCATGTCGTACAGTTTAGTCGAGCTGACCACAAGGTTTTGGCCATTGAAACAGGCCTCCAGGATGCGAACTTGCTGGGTATGCTTAAGGGAATATACCATCACCTGCAATGTTTGGGCTGACTTAGCACAATACCGTCCAACCACCTTCAAAGCATAGGGCGCCATGCGAGAATATCACCGTCTGTTTCAACAGGAGAAAGAAGAGGACAGGAACCTTACAGGAGCTATTGTATGAGGCAAGGTGGACTTGAAGCTCAGCCGGTTGATCATCGAGTTGACAATGGTGATGAGTTCACCCCGAAGGAGCCGCTCATCCCCCGCAACCTCTCTTCTCAGAAGACATCTGAAGTGAGGCGGCGATGATCTGCTTTCTTCGTCGGAACGCGCGATATAGGTGAGAGACGCCTGCCACGAGTGGCCGTCGACACTGGGAAGTTCGTATAGCCCCTTCAGACGGGGATCTGACCTTCTAGAACAAGGGAAAGGGGTTAGCTTGGAACAGCGGGCGCGAGTGCCCAGAACAAAAGGGAGACAGGGCTTACTCTTTGTCTACAAGATTTGGAAGCTTGTTTCGTCCGCTGGCCATGCGCCGCCAATGTAGCTATCCAAGTAGTAATGGAGTCCCATTGTTTTCAGTCGATCATCCGACTCCGGGTTGTAGGTTGGATACTCTGAGTCCTCCTCATCGGACGGAAACCAGCATTCTTCCTCTGTCCATGCCCCGAAAAAGGAGGGGGGTTCGGCCTGAGATTCCAGTGACATTGGGCGATGTTGGATGCCCGCATTTTGGGCATCGTGTTGGTCGATATGGTCGGTCTGTAGCTGGCAGATTTTATTCTTGATTGCATTAAGATTATAACGGCAGTGTTTGCGGAGTCTCAGACTTGTTTCTTGATCATGATCCTGGGTGGCCATATCTGAGATTATTAGTTGGGAGGAAGAATGAACGGTTAGCTTGAGCAAAGGGACAGCCTGAGGTGGAAACCTGGAATTAAAGCATAACCAGCGCCAAGGCGGCAGGACTCAGGCATGGAAGAAGTATTGTATCAAGACCATGCAAATCGACTCAAGGAGTCACATTGAATTGTGAGTTCATTTGAGTAGTAGTATCAATTTCGGAGTTCGTTTGTTTTTTGTAATTCTCAATTTTCAATTTTCATTTTTCTCCTCTTTTCTTTTTTTTTGACTTTCTAATTCTCTGATCTTCTTGCTAAGCCCCAACATAACCAAGATATCTGACCTTCAGAACGGCAGTTAATCAAGAGCAAAAGAACCTGAGAAGAGCATAGCACCCCAAGACCGCAAATCACGCCCAAAGCCATACCGACTCCAAGCCCCCATCAAGACTGAGAGGAACTAGAAGCCACCCCCACCCTCACAACCGGGCACACTATAGACCCCCTTCAACCAAAGCACCGTATCGACCGGCCACCAGAGCGAGGTCACAACCACTGCAAGGAAACAGGCCATGTCCAGGTCATCGAGGTTGAGGGGGGGATCGAACTCGACGAAAGAAGCCAAGAAAATCCTAACCAGCACCAAAATCACCCAGCTCGATTTGAAGACGGCCAGGGCCCAGTGATGGGCATACCACTGGTCGACGCCGCCGATCAAGCCCAAGAACCCGGCGAGGTAGCCGGCAATCTCCTGCTTCTTGTAGCACTGGTCGTGGGGCTCCAGGCTCTCATCCTGATCCCGCTGGATGCTGAGACCGATGGCGCAAGCGAAGAGCGCTACTAAGGCGAGTCCCCACACGATGAAGCAGAACGGGAACCAGAACTCCGAGCTGCATAGCCAGGACACGCAGCCCCGACACTCGCTGCTGATTCGGAACCGGCAGCGGCGGCGGTCCTGCTTGGTGCTGGTGTTGCTATCGCTGGTGGTGGGGGGCTGCTCCTCGATGTCTTCCTCGGCGATGGGTTCATCTGCGAGCGGAGTGACCACGGGTTGAGTAGCCGTGTGGCTGTAGCGAGGTGGGCTGACGGAGCGGTAGGAGGGCGGACGGGACCGTGCAGCTGCGGGAAGTTCAGGAACTGGGCAAGTCTCGTCGGGCATGTCGGTGGTTGAATGTCCTTGAGGGACTTCGGAAGCTTCAGTCGGCTGCTCAAAGCAGTCATGCTCGTGGCAGTCATCTGGAGCTTCGGCGGTGATCGGAGCATCGGCACACTTTTCCTGAGGTTGGCAAAACATCCTGTACTGCAAATACGTCACGAGGTTACGGATTCTGGATAATAGAGGGTCAGTGTCAGATCTCGTGAAGGCTGCACAGGAATGGTGTGGGTAGTAGAAGCCGATCTTCTCGGATGGTAGTAGCAGTAGAGGTTTCTTATATAGTCTCACGAGGGGTCGATTCTCAATTAAAGAGTTGTTTAGCTTAGATGGGCTTTCCAGGCAAAAAATTCGACTGATACGGCTAAGATCCCATGGTGAGTAGGTGAGGGGTCGTCTTGCTGGCAAAGCGTTGTTTGTGGCTTTGTTTGAGGCAATGAAGTTTGTGATAAGCCCCGTTTGTATGTTGCACAGTGCCCGATAATGAAAGCCCTCAACAGGCAACACCTACCCTTTGGTACCAGGTAAACACGAAGGTAACGTACAATGAATTCAGAGAAACTTGTCTCTAGGAAGAGCTTTCATGACGCAAAGCAGTTGTCTACCTTACTGTGACTGCTATCGAGAAGACTTGAATTTCATTTGTCCATCTGTGCTCTGCTTTGTTGACTTGATCAATTTACCCCCATCTCTTCCAATCGACGAACTTCATTCAGTTCCAAGTATCAAAGGATTGTCCCAGCTCAACTCGCTTGTTCGTGAGCAAAGAAAAAGAACCTTACAACAATGAAAGCTACAATCAAACCATGGCAACAAATTCCCCAGATCGTCCAAGCCCCACGGCCTGTGTGCCTTTGAAATTTCTCGAATCCCGATAGGACCCATGCAACCTGGGGTACTATACACACCCGTTCCCCAAAGCATCGCATCGATCGGCCACCAAAAAATAGTGACGATCATCATCAGAAACGAAATTGTCGACAGCCAAAACAAGCCTGGAGGAGTACCCGCGGAATGAGGATCATATTTGCCGCCATAGCGGTAAATGAGAAAACGCCCAGCCTCCAAAAATGCCCACATCGACTTGAGGACGGCAAGCAGCCAACGATGAGCATACCAATGGTCGGCTCCCAGCAGGCCCAGGATGCAAGCCAAGCCGAGCGCCGTGTCGTGCTGGTTTGAGCACCGGTCATTGTCTTCGTTGTTGATGTTATGATCGCGCTTGTCTTGATAGTAGGTGGCGAGGTTGAAGAAGACCATGAACAAGCAAAGAACTGTGAGGGTGTAGATAGTGCACCTGGAAGCCCACTTCTCGTCTACATCATTCCGGACACGGAGAGGACGAGGGTAGATTCTGACTTCGTAGACTAGAATGCCAGGGAGTCGTTGTTCTTCGACGTCCATGGGAGCGGCTGACATTTTGGTGGGAAGCCTACATGGAGGCGAAGTATTGGTGAGTTCATGCTCACAGGCAGGCGGTGGAGTCGGCTCCCTCGGGTTTTCGAGAGACTGGGGAGAATCAGTCGGAGCCTCATGAGGAACTGGCAAAGTTTCCTCGGAGACCTCAGAAGCTCCAACGGAGGGCTGCGAGACCCAATCCGAGTCCGGCAGATCACCGAGGAAGCCACTGGGGATTGGAGAGAGTCAGATTGAGTTGTAAAAGAAGAACTCATGATGGACTGCAAACACTTCAATCACTCGTATGAGGATTTGATCTAGGCGCCCTCAGGTAGTCGCTCAGGCTGCGTCAAACTCAGAATCTCAAAGGCGGGATGCAATACTCGTGCTGATAAAAATGGCAAGCCTTGCTGAGAGTGGGCGGGGCTTTTATGTTGAGAGGATCGACGTGTCTTCGAGGTGAAAAATTCTTCGTATCTGGCGGGAGAATCGGGTGGAAGGATCTGTCAACCAATGCAGCCCAGTAAGAGGGTCCTTGCTCATCTTGTAAACCACCAAAGTAATCCTGGACTGAATGGTTACATTGCTGGTCAGCATTGCACTTCGCTGTTCTCCTCGTTTGGTGCGGCGGATAATGGATTTGACAGGTTTCATCTGCTGCCTGAAAAATGACTACAAAGGCATGGCATAGCCTCGTAACTAACAGTAAACAGGCAAGGGAATTTTCCTGTGACGTGACCTGTACACGTCGAAGAACCAATGACTTTTGAAATATCGTGCATCTTTGAAGACGAAGGACTGATCCACTAAGATGTGTATTCGGCATTGGGTGAGAGATCCAAGGGACCTACCGTGCCACACTCCTCCAAGCTTGGAACTTCGATAAACCGTCTTGAATCATGCAAAGTAAATGGCCACTATAGTATGATATATTGACCGATGTGCAGGAAGGAAGTCGGGGACTCTGATTCTCTGCGCGGTAGAGCGAGAACATGCCTCGGCGTCGTCACGAAGATGAGCAGGCGTTGATCTGCGAGCATCTGTCCAAATCGACTGGTGCTTCACTCGGGCACAGCAGGCGATTGCCAAGCAAACGCATTGGTGAAACCATCCGATGGAGGGATTTGAGAATCTGGATGTACAGTGTCTCAGTTCTCCTCATTTGGCACCATATTTACGAGGCAATGTTTCGGCAAGCGGCATCAATGAGTCAACGGATCTGACTGCAAGATCAGTTACGAGAGTACCAGGGAGAGAAAGTAGTCAGTGGGGCAGGATCAAGTGCCTCTATGTGCGAGCAACATACCACGCTAATGGCAGCGATGAGACATAGGTCTGTGATCCTTGTCGTTGGCAATTGATGGCAGTGCACCTTTCAGCTGTGCAAGAGAATAAGCCCATGGCTGCTCTGGGCCTGTAGAGATTCAGCCATTTGTTGCTTCTGTAGACCTTCAAGGAGTCATGTCGAAGGACACCGGATAGGTGATGGATAGAAGCTCTACTACAAGAGTGTGTTGTGTTATCGAAACTGCTTAAGGTCCACGGTACTAAGACGGACAACCTACCGCTTTAGTGTCCGCTTAGGGCCTCAGGCTAAGAACTGCAACAGCAGCAGTACGTACCGCACCCCACTAATCTCCCGCCCGCTAAACACAGCGTTATCGCAAGTGGGGCCTCCACATTCCATAAGTTCTTCTCTCCTCACCATCATCTTTCCTCCCTCCCTCCCACACCTCGTCCTCCCTCTACACCAACAAACCCACAGAACACAACCAAAATGCCGCCCCAAACCCAAACCCCAACATTTCCAGTCCAAATCCTCGACGGCGGCTTGGGAACTACTCTCCAAGACCACCACGCGACAACCTTCAACTCAACCACCACCCCGCTCTGGTCCTCGCACCTCCTGATCTCCTCCCCCCCGACCCTGCTCGCCTGCCAGCGCGCCTTCATCGAAGCTGGCAGCGACGTCCTCCTGACGGCGACCTATCAAGTCTCCATCGAAGGGTTCGCGCGCACCAAGACCGCCTCCCACCCGGACGGGATCCCGCGCGATGCGATCGCGCCGTACATCCGCACCGCGCTGACTGTGGCGGCCGACGCCGTTAGAGGATCAAACGCCAAGATCGCGCTGAGCCTGGGCCCGTACGGGGCGTGCATGATCCCTGGACAGGAGTATAGCGGGGCGTATGATGCCGAGCATGATGACGAGGAGAGTTTGTTTCGGTGGCATCTGGAGAGGTTGCGGTTGATTGTCGAGGCGGTGCAGCACAACGACGGTCAAAGGTTGGAGGACAAGGTGCAGTATGTGGCGTTTGAGACGGTGCCGCGGTTGGATGAGGTGCGCGCGGTGCGGCGGGCGGCGAGGGCGGCCGGGTTGGAGGCGATGGGGATCCCGTTCTGGGTGGTGTGCGTTTTCCCCGTCGAGGGCCAGGATGCCTTGCCGGATGGGAGTGCGGTGGAGGCGGTCGTGGAGGCGGCGTTGAGTGGGCCCGAGCCGAAGCCTTGGGGCATTGGGATGAACTGCACCAAGGTGCATCGGCTGGGCCGGTTGGTGAAGTTGTTCGGGGAGGGGGTGGAGAAGGTGCTTGGGAAGGAGGGGGCGCGGGCGAAGCCTGCCCTGGTGTTGTATCCCGATGGCACGCAGGGGGAGGTCTATAATACCACTACCCAGGTGTGGGAGAAGAAGGTCGAAGGACCCGGTGCTGCGGATTCGGTATGTCTCTCACACACACTCTCTCTCTTTCATGCTTTCAGCTGTGGTCATGGCGTCCGTCAAGTTCTCACACTTGACTTTCGTGAGAACTTTCATGTTGCGCATGTGCACTAACGATGAATAGCGTCCGTGGGAAGTTCAACTTGCAGAAATTGTCAATGACGCTCGTGCTGGCGGCCACTTCAGCTCGATCCTCGCGGGTGGGTGCTGCAAAGCGTCGCATCATGACATCGCCAAGCTCCGACAACACTTTCAATGATTATCAACCACAACATATGTACAAATAACTCAAAAGTCACTACGCGAAAATGATACCAATTATAGTGGAGTGATACTATGTATACTAGGATAGAGCCAAAAAAGGGTTGAAAAAAAAAGTCTAGTGGGTATCACCGTCTAGGTATATACAAGTCTATATACAACAGCATGTGTATGTACTTAGAAGATCCAGTCAACAAAGCGCTTGAGGGGCGTCCGGGGTCCGTGGTCTTTGACAATGATCTCGCCCTCCACGAGGCGGCCAGACCAGAGATCCAGAGTAGATGCGCGGACAAACTATAGTAACCTATTAGCGTCTACTCGCGAAACAAGAGGGATGAAGTGGGACTAACCTTGCTTTTCTTGAAGATCTTCCAGAGAATGATTGGCACAATGAAGATCGGAATGCCAACATACGAGGCGAAAAAGTCCGAGGTAGACCAGTTCCCCTTGAGGAAGACAGGGAATCCGGCCACAAGAGTGATAATGGTGGATCCAATGAATCCCACCCACGCGGTGTAGGGCTGGAATGGGCCCTGCCAAGGGAGGGTATCGCGACTATGGCCTTGGACCTTCATCGCCCGATGGAAGCGAATATAACAAAAGCTGAGAGTCGCCCAAGCAATTAAGCCGGCGATTGTGCTAAGGTTAAGGAGCCAGGTAAAGGCTTGAGAAGGACCACCACTTCCGAGACCTAAGCAGAATTTTGGTTAGATGAATATTTTGATAGTGAACTGGTAGTATATGCTTACTCAGATAGGCCAGAGGGCCGAAGAGCCAGGAGACGACCACTGCAACATACGGAACACCTTTCTTTGTGACCTTGCCGAAAAACTGGGGGAGTTGGTGATCGGTGGTCATGGCTACGATCATGCGTGAGCCGACCCAGCAGTACGAATTACCGGCAGACCAGGCAGAGATCAAAACACAGGCATTCACAACCGAGGGGAGACCACTGATGCCGGCCTGCTTGATGGCGATGACCCATGGAGAGCTGTTGGCATTGCCAGAGCCAGAGGTGAGGCCAGAGGTCCGGGGATCGACAATCATTCCAATGAGCAGGGCTCCGAGGATGTAGAAGAAGGCAATGCGGTAGGTAACGCGACGGGCAGCCTTGGGGATGGCGCGGTGCGGGTCCATAGCTTCGGCGGCGGCAATGACGACAGTCTCGACTCCAACAAAACTGAAGGAGGCGTTGACGAAGGCTGACAAGAATCCCAGAAAGTGCCCAGTTGGTCCTGTAATGCCATTGTAGTTGGTCCAGGGACCAGGGTTGTGCCAGTAGCGGAAGCCAATGGTCTCGTGGTTCGGGCCGCCGCCTGCGGTGATCACGATGGCCACGATCACCAAGCCCAGAAAACACAAGACCTTGATGGCACCTGTCACGACTTCACTCTCGCCATAGAAACGGACACTCATCAGATTGATGATCAAGATCAGTGCCAAACCGACTGTTATCACCACGGCCGGTGTTATGTCTGACCAGTAGCTCACCACGACCGCGGCCGCGGAGACCTCTGAAGCAATGGCAATGGTGTAACAATATCCGTAAGTGATGGCGAGAGAGAAACCGACGGCGGGATCGATGAACCGAGTAGCCCAGTGGGGGAAGGAGCCTGCAGTAGGAAAGACGGTCGCCAGCTCGGCGATGCTTTGCATGACACACCACAGCACAAACCCCACGACAATGTATGCCAACAACAAACCGGCCGGCCCTGATTTCGCATAGGCAGAGCCGGCTCCAACGAAGAGACCAGTTCCAATACCACCACAGAATCCAATCATGCTGATGTGGTAGTTTTTGAGCCGACGCTGAGTGGCACCACGGCCACCCACGTTAAGCTCCATCTCCCCTTTTACCGGGGGACCATCCTCTTCGCCATAATAGTTGGGCACCTTCGGATCACCGCTTCCATGATGCTCAATCTTATTCTCCGCAGCGGAGACTGAAGAGTCGTACATCGTTTGCGCCGAAGGTGGTGCAGGTGCTCACAGGCAGAGGAAGTCCGGGGGAAAAGCTGAAATGTGGGATGAGGGGGGGGGGGAAATGTCTTGGAGAGAAGGAACACCGGGGGACAATTATATCAATCGAAGGCAGGCAGGCGACCAACCGATTGAACCGCGCAGCTTGCCACCGATCGGCCTCGCGCGGAGAACCACTTTTTTTTTCTACCCACCGTCGCCGCAGTGTGCAATCGCCATCACGACATCGGGTAGCGGATTGGCACCATTCCCTTTTGACGCTAAGCGTGCCATCCTCCCCACCGCACGCGTGCCGCTCTATGGTGAATTTCCGAAGACGGCCTCCACTTGGCCCGTAAGATGGGGACTGCGATTGAACATGCGAATTAGTCATTCGTGTTGATACAAGCTTTAAATGACAGGGGTAGAAGAACCAAGAACTTCTTCTGCGTTCAGACCGAGTCCAGGATTGGAGGAGCCATGACATGAGGAGAACCGGTGTGGCGAAGAGAGATTACAGTTTTTCGAGAAAGAAGCGTGAAAGTTCCCAGTTCCGGATCTGCCCTTGGGAGCAGTGTGCGAGGCACGTGTTTTGGATGGCCACTAGTCCTGGTAGAGCTTAGTGTGGTCTGCAACGGTTCCTGCAGCCGCTCACTGCAATTCCGCACTATCAGCTTACGCTTAAAATTCTAGCGTCGTTCGGGCCAGAGCCAAGACGGAATTGCTGCTCATCGCTTCTGGAGTCATTGTGCAGCATAGCAACGCAGGTGTGCTTTCTTTTAAGGATCATCCACATGGATTTCACTGTACTGAGAATCGCTACGTATACTTCAGTCTCCTTCCATCATCGTCAGGTCCAGTCTGAACCCGCCGCCTCCGATTCGGAGAAACCTACTCCGCTTCTCGCATAGCTCTTACGTAAAACTCACACAAGCTCGGGGACCCAAGCGTAATTAGCTCCCTTTCGATACGCTGTTCGTGAGAGCAATCAATCAATGAAGCTGGGCAAAACGATAAGAGATGGCCGCGGTTCTGTGCTGAAAGGCAATTTCGGCCGAGCAAAACGATTGCCTGAAAAAACGGGATGAGAGGTCTAGATTGCTGGGCGCATCGAATATTGTTCTTCTTCCAATTGATGTCACTCTTTGCCACTGTCAGGTGCGGATGGACCCCAGGTGGCTCTCATGAGCACATTCCCATGTCAGATCGCGTCATAAGAAGAGAGTGATCTTTTGTATAGTGCTTGGAAGGTGTAAGAAGAGTGGTGTGGTGCCAATGCCTAACGGTAGCCTCTCGAGTTCTCATCAACCATTGACGCCCATATTCATTCGTCTAAATGCTCAAGTGGCGATGCATAATAGCCTTCGCCAGTGGTAAAACATCGCAAGTCGGGAGTGCTGGCTTAGTTTGCGCTGGGTCGAAAACGGTCGTTCCTTTAAAGACAGAGAGCAACTGAAATGCGCAGGCTAGTTAGTAGGTCGCCAGAATTACTAGTCGATCTCGGACCCGGCGAGCCCGGTTGAGAGACTAAGTAGAGCTGATCTCTCGTTGATCTGCATTGACAGATATTGGTTGGAAGCTGACCGTTATGTGTACCTATTACCTATCCAATGCCATAAGCCATGAAGCGCAATGGTCATCGCTGCAAACCATCGACTATACTGCAATGAAATGTCTATGCAGTCATTCATTTGCAATATATCACATAACCACCACAATCCCAGCGCAGCAGCGTACAAGCTCGAAAAGCGACATCGACCGAAATGCACATTCTCAGAACCCAAGCCTTCACCCCCAGCAAACTAATATACATCACACCAAAACCAAAGCCTTTTTTGATCCCCAACGCCAAGCATACAGTACATAAAAAGACACATCACCACTCGCCGAAACAAAAAAAGTAGAGATATCATCACGATCCATCATCACCAACATCCTCCCTTATGTCCCATCCAAAACCCCCTCATTTCTTCTCACCATCCCCCTTCCCCCAAGTCCAGACATCCCAAATATGCTCGCGGATCAAATCCCCATACCCCTTCCCCTCATCGAGGGCCTTCTGCTCCTCGCGCAGGCGCCGCTCCTTCCACCCCTCGGTCTCGCCACCCATCCACACGCGCTGCAGGACGGGCTTGTCGAACTCCTCGCGGGCCTTCAGCTTGGCCAGCTCCTCCCCCTTGGCCTCCTCGATCTGCCGCTCGCGGTCCGCCTTCAGCCGGGCCTGGATCTCCAGCGCCCGCTCGCTGGGGAGCCCGTTCCCCAGCGAGGCCAGCGGGTGGCTGCGGCCGGCGGAGATCTTGTCCTCGAGGCGGTCGACGATGCTGCGGCCGGTGCGCTCGCGCGTCAGGTGGTTGGCCGAGATCGAGAAGGCGCTGAGCTGGAGGACGGTCAGGTTGTCGAGCTTGCGCGGCGGGAGGGCGATGAGGATCGGGGAGGCAACCAGGAAGGTCCAGGCGGCGTAGGTCTTAAAGCGTTGGTAGTCGGCTTCCCGCTGGCTTTGGAGCGTGGCTTGTTGTTGCTGCTGCTGCTGCTGTTGTTGCTGATCTGGGGTAGTCGGGGGTTGTGGGGTGGTCATTTTGTTTTTGTCTTTTGGGGTGGGCGTCGGCTGGGTGAGACGCTTCTTCGTGGGATTCAAGTGTCAAGAAGTAGACAGACAGACAGAGTCTTGATGTTGGTTGCTATTGAGTGTGGGTTCGTTTATTTTCGTGATGAGATTCTTATCGGATCGGATGCAGGATATTGTCTCGAAGATGGAAATTTACGGTGGACGGTTGGGCCAGATGCGCAGACACAATGGTCATGTGACGTCTAGACATGCATCATACATCGCTTTCTTGACAGTCGCTAGGCCTAGACATAGGATATATAACCGGACCAGATATCGATTATTGTTGATGCTCATGTGCATAAGAGGCAGATAGGTCTTTTGGATGACAGTAGAGAACCTTCATCTCCAAGTAGAGCCTCGCCGATGTCCCATTGCAATACAAAAATGTGAGGTGACCGCATAACAATACAAGGCGCGTCAATAGCCGCTTCTTGAACCATCACAATATCTCAACAACAACAAACTCCCTTTCATCCCCTACTCTAGGGACATCCTGTTCATACTAGATATTTCGCGTGGCCTATCCGAATTGGAAGATTTGAGGAGGTATGTGAAGTGATGCCTTTGTTCATGGAATGTGGGGAACATTTTACTGATCATAATCTACTCATATAGGTTGCTAAGTACAAGCATTGAGAGGAATGGCCTATCTCCTCTTTCCGCTCAAATATAACAACACTTCTTGAGTGGCTTTTTATGTGGCATTGATTCTCGTCATTGGTTGCCCAAGAAGCTTCGCATGTTCCTTTATACTCGCACAACAATCGAGCTTAGATGGATATTGGGTGCAATTTCCGGCATCAAGAAAGAGATGGTAGGCATGGGAAGTCGAACTTTTAGATGCTGACAGTATCAGAACTTATATACAATAGAGTAGTTCATTGCTGTGTATAGTAACTTATACTGAGGTGGACTATACTACCCATCATGGAGACGATATGCTATTTCTAATTTACATAAGAGCAGACACGGCCCGCCGATGGTCTACATACAGACCCTCACTCCGCGAGGGCAAACAGAGCTCTTGTATCGATGTCGTCGGAAATTGTAACATGCTCGTAGTTGGCGGCCACGTTGTCTGGCCTTTTGGCTTGTGCTTCCTGTATAGTTTGTGGAGTGCGACCAGTTTTCTTATTGATAGAGCAGCGGTGGTCGTCTTATAAGGAGATAGCAAGCCTCTTCGCAAGCCTCTTCGTGTCCGTTGTCTTCATGGTCATTGCCATGGTTCGAGATCATTTTGTTGAAACTTCTGAAGTGTGACTTTTGTCTTTGTGGGCAGGGCAGCGGTGGTCGACTTGTTGGGAGGCAGCAACACTCTTGAAAATTGGCGAAGTGGAGTCCCTCAACAGGCGAGGGAGTCTCTCCCAACGTTGACCTGGTGCCAGTTGGGGCGGTGCGGCTGGAAGTAGGAGGATGAGGGTTTTGAGATGCAGAGTCTCTGTCCCTGCTTTGGTCAGAAACATCCTTCATCTCCACGTCCAGGTTCTCACTGACCTTGGACTGCTGCCAGTTGAGAAATGATAACGAGAGTCGGCTAAGTGGATTCTTCGGCGGGCACGGGAAACGTCCTCCATGTCCACATCCACATTCTCTTGAATGTTAAACAACTCAATGTCTTGGTCATACATGATCATGGGCTGAATATCATGGAGAGGTTGAGATTCAGCGTCTTCAAAGTGAGCCCTTTTTGGAGAAAGAAACACATCTTTCATCACCACGTCCTGGTCATTGCTGACCTTTAGGATAGATCTCGGGGAGAATGGGGATTGTTAGTGCGAGAACAGAGGAAAGAAGAAAAAGAGAGGCTGAAGGAGGAAGTCGGAGGGTGGGGGCGAGAGACAGAAGACGAGACAGGAAGTGGAACTTGGGAAGTGGAAGTTTATGGAAAGAGAGATTCAGATTACCATGTCGATTCACCACGGAAGGAACAGTTTGATCTGTGAATACAATGGAAACTTTGCTGTCGGCACCAGAGCTAGGAAGGAACAGCTAGGCAGGGCCACCAAGGCGCTAGCCCTAGGTGAAGCAATAACCTCGAAAAGCATTGGGTCTCTAAATAAGTACAATACCTACAGTAAAGTGAATAAATCAGGTTGATAGAGACACCTACTTGTCCAGTCGGGACTTAGATTGATCTACAGTGAATGCCAGCAGTCATTCGGCAAGTGGGCAAGTGAAAATCTCTTGGTTGATCTGTCTCCTGACTAAACTACCAACGAGTTGATGGAGGGAAGAGAGACATTGATGTCTGTAGCTTTAGCTTGCAGTCCATCGACAAATACCCCATCGGGGTTCAACACCATACATGAGGAATAAACATGGATTCTCAGACAAGACAAGAAGAGAGGAACTTGAAGCTTGCATTGCTTCACTCACTCCATCGACACATCACACACCCACCAGGGAAGCTCAGGGGCATCGACCATCTCAACATCAGCGTCCTCCATCTCCACATCTTCATCCTCGGCTTCAGCCATCTCAACATCCGAGTCATAAATGATCTCGGGCTCGAAACAATGGAAGAGGTGAACTTCTGCACCAGCAAAGTGTACTTTTTTCTTGGGAAGGAAGACATCTTTCATAACCACATCCTGGCCATTGCTGACCTTAAGGATGGAACGGGGATTCGCAGGGCGGGGGGGTTGCTTGGAGGCAGGCGTTGTATTCCTAACCTCACAACGAACATCTCTCATCACCACGTCCTGGTCATTGCTGACCTGGGACGGACGCCGTTGGGAGCGGCAGCGTCGGGAATCAGAATGGCGAGGTTTTTGAGAAGCAGGGGCTCTGTCCCTGCCCTGGCCAGAAGAGTTAGGCAGGGACTGGAGGCGCATACCCTGCGTTGCCTGGCCGGAAACATCTCTCATCACCACGTCCTGGTCATTGCTGACCTGGGACAAATGCCAGTGGGAGCAGTGGCATAGAGAGTTGGGGTAAACATAATCACGGATTGTTTGAGAAGCAGGGGCTCTGTCCCTGCCCTGGCCAGAAGAGTTGGGCAGGGACTGGAGTCGGGTACCCCGCGTTGTCTGGCCGGTTTGCTTGTGCTGCCTGTGTGTTTTCTGTGGAGTGCGACCAGGTTTTTTGTAGACAGAGCAGCGGCGGTCGTCTTCTGAAGAGGTCGCAAATCTCTTCGTGTCCTTTGTCTTCATGATTCTTTGCATGGTTCGGGACACAGATAGAACTTTTTCGTGTTCTATGAGGATCAGGGTAATACGGATTTCAAGTTCAGGTATAAAAAGCAACGCGAGTACGTGAAAGCAGATTTTGAAAGCAAGAACAGTTTTTTGAGACTCCTTTTTTGTTTTTTGGTAGTCTGGAGAGAGAAGGAGAAGAGAAGAAAGATCGAGGAGAGCCGCGAGGAGAAGAGCTGGTTTTGCTCGGCCGCACTAACAATTCGATGTCATGATGCTTTCAAGGTGATTCTGCTACTGAAGTGAAGATTCCGGTAAGCTTGCCTCAGAAATGACAGCCAGATGCAACCCTGTAGCCACAGTACCCTTGCAGAAAGCTTAGCACAGAGTCTGGCATAGTCTGGGGGTGACGCAAGATCATCCCAGCTGCGGCTTGGGATTCTGGTCGAGCCAATCCGCGAGACAGCCCTGCAGAGATATCGCAATTAAGCTTCCAGGTACGATCAGTTTGCGTGCAGGAAGCCTCGTCGGAACTTCCGGTCCAATAAGTGAAGCACCATGTGGCAGCAGGGCTACCATCTTGTCAAGTCTGGCTAGACACTTTTGCCCAACTGCGATTCGAAAGAGCGACCGTACGATTGGATTGGGAAGCGCTTTCCGATGTCTTCATCGCTCATGGGATTGGATTGCTTTGATCCTTTTTCTGGGTTGCTTCGTAGGACCGCCAGGAGAAGGTGCACTTCCGGTTGAGGTCATGCTGTCTCGTTTGCGCTTCTCTGCTTTAGCATTGCTGCGCTTTTTGCGTTGCTCGTCTCGAATAGCCAGCCTTCGTTGTACCTCCTCAGAGATGTCCTCCGTGTCAATCGACACCGGAGTTATGCTCCTAACGTCATCCTCACCCCCAGGCAGCACCTTCATTAAGCGCTTACGCTTGTGATGACGGGCTGGGTCAGCAAAGGCCGACATAGTCTCTGCATCTGGTACTGCAGCAATAGTCTCCTCGTCTCGTTCGCTCGCTTCTGCGCGTGCCCGTTTCGCCCGATCTCTCGCCCGAGGGCCATTGCCAGATGAATCACTCATCCGACGAGAAGATGACGGATCTGAGCCAGAGTTCGAGTGCAAGGTTTTCTCAGCATCTAGATTTCCTATCACAAAGTTAGGTCCATCTTCAATGACCCATAGCTTCGACTGGAAGAATTTCCCTGCAGAGAAAAACTTTCCGCAGCCTGGAGGAAGCAACGTGACTTACTGGAACCCTATGCCGGCGTGTTAGCACTATGTCAACAGCACCCATACCCGCGATGGGGAGAAGCAAACGAACAACTCACAAATTTGCCTTTGATGATCTTGAACTGCATCATCAACTTTTTCGTCCGCTCCAACATGTTGGTAACCAACCGCGACGCATCGCCATTGGACGGAACCTCGCCCTGGACCTGCTGTAGCAGCGCGAGGTGGGATACCAGCAGCGACTCGTGCTGGGCGCAAACCTAAACGATCCACAAGGTCAGTTTTCACATGTCAAATCCAACAACACCGTACAATGCGAGCCGGTAGGATGACCAGCTCGTGCGGTCATCTCCGGGAGAAAGCTTTTTACACACCTCAGCCCATGACAATTGCTGTTGCGCGGCGTTGGCATCACCACTACCGCTACCTGGACTAGGCCTACTCTCGTCTTCTACCTCCTCTACAGTAGGATTCATGGGGGGTGGTGGCTGGCTCGATAATGGCATTGCGACAGGATCTGAACCAAGGAGTGAAGTTGGATTAAGGGCGCGGGGAGATCTTTTTTGCTGATTGGGGACCGGCCCGAGAATGCTGCTCATCTCTTGGCATTTCCAGCCCGCTATTTTTAGACCCTCCCTTCCACATGGTAAATCGAGATCGTCTGGGGAGGTTCCAGAGATTGCTTGTAATCTCCGTCATTGTCGAGTTTAATCGCCGTTGGAGGCGATCCTTCCGTTGCAACATAGGCTGGGTCAGGACCTTTGCGTCTCTTTTCCGGCCTGGCATAACGGCTAGGTAACCGTGCTGTAGACTCGGAGTACAATCCACCCACTCAGAATTTGAGATCAGACTTCGGCGCTTCGCCTTCATCCTGTATACTGAACCGTTTCTCAAAAGATCATTTTGAATAGTATTTCGCTCAACTTTTCATAGAACTGCCCTAACACTTTCTGGCTTCCTCTAGCCAGCATTCCAACATCAGACCCGTATACTAAAATCCATAACTCTCGAGACAAGTAGCAACAGTGCACCTCATGTACTGCCACTAGCTCCAGCCACTGGAAGCGACCCGTGAAGGTAGACTACTTCAGTTCCATGAGACCACGCTGCGTTCATAATCGCACATGGTCAATCCTGAACATCTCCTCGCAGTGCCCCGCAAACAGAGCCCTCAATTCTCCCCTCCCCACGCCATCAGACCCCAAGTCCCCTTCCACAAGCATCAGAGCCTTCCACTTTTGACACTGAACTTGGGTCAATCTAAACCTGGAGTTGTGGAGTTGAACGGTTACACATGCCTGGCCTTGGATCTGGATACACCTCTAGAGGCTTATCAATCATACTTCTAGGGTCTGCGACTATCGGAGCTCTGGCAGATTTATCATCAGTTCATCCTAGCGGAGTTCAAAGGCTATTTTACGGCGAGTATATCAGATACCAAGCGCATATTTTTGCTTGAGCTCAAGACCTCTACTATCACTGACATGTGGAAGGATCGAGATCGTGGGCATATTCACAAGATGAATAGATAGGGGCTGGACATGATTGTAAGGTATTGCGCGCTGTCTAAGAGATATGTGAAGTCCGTGCTCATTGATTGGCACAATTCCAATGATCAAACCAAGTGATCAATCTTCTAGAGATGAAAGTCATCTTTTATCGAAATTTAGTGTTCTATTTGGCTCGAAAGTATTCTTATAGCACGGCCAACATTTAGGAACATTCAAAATACTTCGTAAGCGAGTCAAGTGTTGACGTGGGCTCTTTTGGGGCAAGCCTTGATAAAACTGCATTACGTCACATTGGTCAAGAATCATGTCCGAGAAAGACAATGCAGTGATATTGTATCAGGCCAAGGAAGCGACACAATCGTTCAATGGACAGGGTAACCTAGCCGGTCAGACCACCATGTCAAACAGGCCTTATACCTCATCTCGGGACTCAGAGCGCTCTTTTGAACGATTGCCATGCTCTAGACCGGATACTTGGTTGCCCTCCCTCGTTTGCTGTGTGCGCTTCTCCCACTTGAAAACAAAATGTATAGTGATGAAAAGAATAGCTGCCAGCATCGAGAGAGCCAGGTACAGCTTTGCGCCAATGCGCCAGTGGGGTGCTTCCTCGGCGGGATAGGCGGCAATGGGGAGGAATGCGCTGAGGAGATATGAGAAGAGTGTGCCGGTGGCGAATAATACTGTCCGGACTTGAGGTTCTGTCTCGAGATGCGCGGTTGCCCAAGCGCATAGGAGCATTGTGGAGACGCTGGATCATCCGGTCAGTAGTGAGCCTGGTTTCGCTTGTCAGGGAGGGACAAGGGGTCGATTGTTGTTCCTCTTCAATTCACTTACGCTCCGATGTAGTTCATATACCATCCAACCATGTAGGCAGACTCGTTGCTCGGGCGAATGACCAGAATTATAAGGGAGGTGATGTTGATTACCTATCTAAATATCAGTATCTCGCATTGTGATAAGATGAGATCTCTCTCCCGGGGAGTGCTCACGGCATGCAAAAGCAGAAAAGGAAGTCTTGTGCCGAAGAAATCGCTGAACCCACTGAAGAGGATCTCGGCAACGAGTTGAATCGCTTGACCAATAATGGGAAGATAATTGAGCATGGCAACTGAACTAAGTTTCGGGAGTCAGCACGTGAAAAATGAATGGGGTGATGAGGTTGGTTTACTATTTTTTTGTTCCATCAGCGTTAGTCAAGGATTTGAGCCAAAGATTGAAATAGTTCGTTGGGGTCGTCCCCGTGCCAATGCACCATGCAACTGAGACTTGATAAGCTTTGTTGCTGTAATAGTGGAATATCTTGAAGAACACACTAGAGAAAAGCCAAAGATGCCAGAATCTCAAGGCGCGAAGGAATGTTTTGGGCGTGATCCCAACTTGTGGGCTTCGGCCGACACGACGCGTACGCGCAAGAGCAGTTTCTATGCAGGTGTCAGGATGTGGGTCTTTTAGGAATATGCCATGTAAGTTAGCTCACCGATGTGTCGGGGCTTGAGATAGATCTTGGAGAGCGGATTCTGTCTTTCCGGCTGTGGATTATGTTAGTGGTACATCAGCATCTCGGAGGTCAAGTTGCGTACGAATCCAGGCATTGCTACATAGGCAAGGAGGGCAACAGTGATCGTACAGATTCCCTGTTCAAACAATGATTTTAGTCTCAGTAGCACATATGACACGATTATCCTTACTCACATTGATTATGAACGCCCATTGCCAACCGCTTCTTCCAAGCGTGCCGTTCAGATTTGTGGACAGTGCACCTTGCAGTGCTCCAGAAAGCATGGCGCCGACCGGTTGGGCCATGTTGTAAAGACTCATGCGCAATGCCATCTCATGCGGAAGATACCACTGACTAAAAGCGATTGCCTCAGTATTCTTTTAGGCGAATGAGTTACAAAGAGCATACCTGATAATAGTAAAGTATCCCGGCCAGGTGGCCCCTTCGCAGAAGCCTATGAGAAAGCGAAGGCCATAGACCTTGTATTGTTAGACTCTCGACCAACTGTGGCAAACTCTTCTATTGAAGGGGCTGTTACCTGCTTCGCAGACGTGGCAGTAGACAGACAGCACGTAAAGATACCCCAAAGAACCTAATTCTTCGAATTAATGCGCTGCACGTAAATTGCGCCTAAAAGATTATTCCTGACCTCACATGTAGGCAACCAGATTGTTGGCCCTATATGAGATATAATAATACATGAGGGATAAAGCATGACCATGTAGCCAATGCTAAATACGATCAGCATGGGTAAATCAGCGTAGGGGAAAATAACTCACTTAAAAAATGTGGTGAAGTAATTTAGCTCGTTTCCATAAAGCTTCAGATCTGTCTGCATGCCGGACACATATGCATTGCTCTGATGAATCCTTCTTAGCTTCGGCATTACAGTCAGCAAAAGGCATGGTCAACTTACAATGTTGGTCTGGTCGAGGTACTTGAACGCATATCCCAAAAACCCAACAACAAGGAAAACCGCATCCAGACGCCATACCTAATACTCCATGAGCTTCAAAATTCATAATAGATTAAATGACGATAGAGATCTTACCAGCGCCCTCTCAGCATCTGAGTCAACTAGACAGATGTCATTCTGCTCGAGCTCTGTGACTTGATCCAGAAAGTCCTTGCTATACCTTTGACGAGGAGCCATTCCCATTTATCTGACGAGAACCGACTGCGATTGAGAAGAACCAGCAAAGACTCTTGAGGAATGGTGGATCGCATGACCCCCTTGCTTGTACCCAGGCTTTATATTATAATCCAGAGGGAATCGACGCAACTACCGAAGAAGATCGGCCGTTATCACGATGAGATAGTGCGAATGGCATCAGCACGGGAAGCGAAGACGTGCTCTAGACCATACCCCACTTGAATGATCAAGCTTAAAGAGGGGATCAGTGCGTTTCGGTCCGATCGAATTGCCTCCGTGCGGGATGGGCATGCCTTATCGGGGTCAGCGAGATAGCTACGTAGCAGCCTTGATGTCAGGGTAGCTGTTAATCATTTTGTTCGGGACCCCTTTCAAGACCCGACAGTCAGTGGAAAGGATCACCACTATACGGGGGGGAAGGCATTATACACCCTAGCATATAAGACTTGGAGTCAAAAACACCATGACAGCTAATAGAGAGAGACCTTCAAGCTATACTAGAGCCTTGCCCAAGACGAGAAGACTGCATAGCATTCTTGTAGTCCAATGATGGCGGGACGTGGTATACGATAGAATCGAGTCTGACAAGTCATAAAGATGGAGGACGGAATAATTCAAGAGATTTAAGCTATTGAGCTCAAGCTGGCTACACTTAGAGAACTCTGAAACGAATGTAATAGCTCTTGAAGCTCGCTGAAATGGACGGTGCTGAGCAGAAATGGAAATTCGAATCATCTCATGTGTGTACCGTACCGGACAGAAAAGAGGGGAAGTGACAGCAGCCGCGGGAAGGTTCTGTCGCACCTGTTGCCGCGCTTCCTCAAGAAACCATTCAACATTCACACAACCACCTACCTAGGTGGTCAGTCACTCCTTCAGGAAAGCCTCAAACCATGACTCGATCGCCTATCTCTGCATTGGCCTGCTTTGCATACCAAGTACGAACAACCTCGTTCAGGTACGTGCTCAATTCTTGCTTCTTGCCAGGCGATGCGAATGAGTCTACCAAGGTGCTGACAACAAATTCTTGACTCCAGGCTGGGGCTTCCTCGTGGGAGAGCCCCCTTGGGTGCTTTCCGGTCATATGCCTTTGCGTCGGCTCAGTTTTAGGCAACCCTTTCCCACGGCTCAGCGACTCGGTGACCTGTAGCGCCGCCTGGACCACTTGACCAACAGCATGATCTTTACTATCTTCCAAATCATGGAGCAAGTTGAGGCTCTTGTAGTGAGTCTCAGTTAGTTCACTCAGATCTCCTGCTTCACTAACAACGGTAATCTGATAGCGGATAGATGGTTTTCTGGAGGCCCTGCCGTTCGACGATCGCCGAAATGTGGGCTTCAGATTGAGGAGATGTCCAGACTCCGAGGAAAAATGGCTGGCAGCAATCTTTCGAGCACGGTCACTGCCCCTCAGCAAGATTCCCAAGTCGATGAATTGATGCTTGAGTGTGTTCAGAAATGTTTTGTCATCTACTGAAGAGATATCCTGCACGAACAGTCCATACGTGGACTCTATCTGCTCGATAGTCATTAACCTGCCGTCTTTAAGGTTATGAGCGTGCAGGAGCGGTTGAAAGTGATCTCGCAAGAGCTCAACGTCAAAGAAATGCGATTCTCGCCGGGCGAGCGACGGTGCCTTGAGGGTTCCTGAACCTTGTTCATCCGGACAAATAAAAATGAAAGGCATGTGCCCTTGAGACAAAAGCTTTGGAATGAGCTCACTAGCTATTATGTGGGATAGAAAATCAGATCCCAGGAGAATGGCGACATGGAGAGACTTTGCCCGAGGGTCTTGGGTCAACGCGTCCGCGATTCGCGCAGCATGCGCCGCGACACGATCAATGGCGCTCACATAGAAGTGTGTGCCACGCGTTAGCGTTCCCATAGTGTACAGTCCGGGTGCTGCTTCAAAAGTGTCAAAATCGACATCCACTCCGCCTGTTGGATGAGACTTGAAGAGGCCTTTAGTCACTAGCGACCGAATCAACGAAGATGAAATCCGGTCGAGATGGCATTCCTGACCTGTAGCCTCAACTACATAGGATGTTTCAACCAGTCCCGATGAGGTGTTCGCGAAGAAAACTTTCCTTTCAGCGTCCCAATCGACTCTTTCACCAGCGACGACGTTCAATTGGGATTTTTCCATTAGGTCCAAGATCTTTTGGGCATTTTGTATGGGCATCCCGTGGCGGTATCTCATCCAAGGACTAAAGAACTTGTCCAAGAACAGTTTTTGACTTTCGACTGGTAAACAGCTCCAATATCGCTCTATAACAGGTGCGGTGTGGCGAAGAACAGTCTGCCAGTGAACGTTTCCATCCCGTGCGGCCTTGATATCAGCTTGCAGTTCTTCGAGCGGGGAGGCATGTTTCCGAAACCAGCTCCAATCGCCATTGTTGATATAATCGATCTCGTCCATCAAGCATGTCATGAGCTTGATCAGAGCGTCACTTGGATTTGCTTCGACCTCACGTGCAAGTATGTGAAGAGAATATCGGCGAGGAAAAGGCTCCGGCTCCCCTTGAACTGTAGGCACTCGCCCACTGCGCGACATGAATGTGATAGGAGCTTGGTGTCCATTCTGCGCAAGGGCTATAGCGGTGTCCACAGCTGACAGTCGGGATCCAATGACCAAAACGGGAGCATCGGCAGGGATATTTTTCAAGCTTTCCGTGGGCCATGGACTGGCGAGAAATTGTGGTTGATTCATGAGATGCGTATACGCGGTAGAGGTGAAGTTTCCCGGTGCCATCACGACTTGACCTGCAAGACATTGCCCGCCGCTGCTCAAAGTCAAGAGAAATGACTGATCATTCTGGCGCTCAATGTCTGTGACTTCATCGTGAACGAAAGAAACGCTCATCCCTAGTTGCTGGGCCGCATTGAGTGCTTGATGTGACATGTCTTCGAGGTAATTTCCATAGATATCTCGGGATGGAAACGGCCCACTCTCCAGCTCGCTTCTCCAACGTGAGAAGTGCTTGGGATCATTGAAGTATAACCCCATTGTGTCGGTGTGCATGTTGATGATGGTGCCCGAGCACAGAGAAGAATATGCTAGCCCAGGGCCAAAACGTGTATCCTTCTCAATCACAGTGACAGGCGGCAAGCTTTTCCCATTTTTGGCTTTCTCAACCAAGTGCATCAGAACTGAAATGCCACTTGCACCAGCTCCGACTATGACGATATCACCCATATTGGGATCACAATGAGATGACTGTGAGCTACCCATGGTCAATTTGGTACCAGAAAGTGGAGGGTTGTTGATGTGTGGGCACTATGAAGTGGTTCTAAGCATGAATAGAGGAAGAGTATTTATGCTACTCTCTGACCCGTACGGACTGTGTCGGGAAAACCTGATAACCCATCACGAGGTTCCCAGAATAGAACCACAGACAGTCATGACCATACTCTGATCACCAGTTATAGATCGCCAAGACCCCGCTTTCAACATGACCGTCCATTCTCCATGTGCATTTTCCAAACAATGAGCGCGGTTCTTGCACTGTGAGCCATTCGGGGTTTCAAGGATACCTCGTTCATTCTCAATGTCGGCGTCTGTTGCCAAGAAGATCTTCGTGACCAAACCGAATATGCTGCAATTTCCGACGAGAGGATCACGCTTGCTCAGGTGAGAAAAATGCCACATACATGCACTATTGCACGATGGACGTTTTTGAATTGCTCTTGACTTCGCGCGGCACATCGAAGAGCGAAACTATCATGGTAGCAAGCATTAGCGCCATCTGATAGATCACGCAAGTCAGAGATATGAGCAATGGTAATTACGTTAATCAATCGTCTCATCTTAGTCCGGTGGTTGTTTCTTCACATCTAGACTCGGCTGGCCAGGCCAGGAACATGATCCTTGCCTTCGCAACTGGAAACGTGGTCATGGGTGAAGCATCATTTGCCACGGACACAATAGTGGTCCGTGACAAACTACTCGAGATTTTATGTGTGAGAATGCATCGATTTAATGATTGGCTCAGCATACATGCAGCAACGATCCAGTAATACTTCGCCATGCAGCCCGAAGAGTCTTGATTGAATAAGCCCTTAGAAAATCCTCCGCTCCAAGACTTGTCCCGTCTATCGCGAGTCAAGTTCAGTTCCTCGTGGTACGTATAACCGCAGTTACTGCTTCAATGAAATATGAGAACCTGACGTGGCTGATAGCTCCTGGTCCAGGGTTTTGCCAAGACATGTACAAAAGTATGACCCCATTGACTGCCAATTTGTAGAGGACAATTGAAATGATACACGGGTCTACTCACCGGCATTCATCCTCGACGCTCAGATCGTCAGAACTGATTGATCACCCTCTTGGGCGAACATTTACCCGACTAAGCTGGCCGGATAACATCATTTCAGCTATAAAGACGATCGTCGGCGCCTCAGGGGTCTAGCACTTCGTATAGCATCCTCTAGTAGCAGAGTTCTGCAAACTCCAGAGTAAGCGCTAAAGACTAGCCCTCACTGTGATCTCAATCGATACTCAAGGCAGCATCGATGCCATCGGCATACCATTTCCTTGGCGGATTGTGGCATCTGCGGTCTTCGAGATCATGATTGGTCCCTGATCCTTCTGCCCTATTGACCCTATTTTTGGCCTAAAGTTTCCTCTAAGGCTTGAAGGGTCTTTGCTCGGCTAAAATAGACAGGAAACCAGAATTTAGGGATCATCCGTCGGCTGATGCGCATTGTTTCCCCGGACTCTCCCCCGTTTCGAGTTACTCTAATTCCGCGTCGAGCCGGAATAATCGGAGTCGGAGGTGACATGGTTACCATGCATGCCGCCAGGAGCTACAGAACGCCTTATAGCGGGCAGCGGGGAACGGCTTGGCATGCAGGCATCTTCCCCCTCCCCCTGGATATTTTTAGCATTACGGAGTAGATATTTTGAAGATCGCTAATCTTCGAATCTCGGCCTAGGACTTTTACCGGTCACATGTGCGGAGTATACAGAATTGAATAATAGCAGGCTAGTGTGCATAGTTTATGCATATCTAATTATGTGGCATTCAGTCTAATACTTGACACCAAAACAATCGTTTCGACTTTCCACAACGTGCTTTGACGCAACCCCACGTTTTTCCACCGGCAAATCTTATCCCGAGCCTACTCTACCTCTTACCTTACCTGCCCCCCTTTTTCCGAGAGCAAGGCAATGATCTCAGATCTTGACCTTGACGCGCCATCCGGTCTTCGAGATCCTCGCCCCCAACAGCACCATCGCACCCAGTAAAATAACTACTCCCGCCCACACCTGGGCTCCGATGTAACCATGGGCCTTGGCAACGAGAGCGCCACCCAACGGAGGTCCGGTCAAACATGCAAAGCTCATGATCGTGAAGCCCATTCCGATCCGTGTGCCAGCCTTGCTGAGGTCCGTAATCAGGCTGGAGAGTGTGGGTGGCCAGAGCCCCTGGACCGCATTGGCGCAGAATCCGTAAAGCACGGCGAACGTGTAGAGCCCCGCTGTGGAGTGCACGGCCGCCCAGCAGAACATCAGCACGCTCGAGGCCACCGAGAGAGGAATGACGGTATTCAGCGGGCCCAAATGGAAAGAAGCAAAGTACGCGGGGATCAGGCGTCCAAGACTGGCGGCCGCGTTGAGCACAATAATCAAGTTCGTTGAGTCGGAGTAGGTGAGTCCGATCACGCTTCGGCCAAAGGCACCCACATAATAGACTGCAAAATACATGCCCCAGAAGTTGAGCCAGATGGCCAGAATGAAAAACGTATAGATTGGCTCGTCGCGGAAGGCGGACAGCTCCACGAGGGGGCCCGACTTGCGCGGGGGCAGACGAGTGCGAAAGAGCGCAACGGCAGGGATAGTGGTGGCAAGCATGACGAACCCCACAACGCGCAGGGTCCAGCCAAAACCAAGGACAGGGAGTAGGCCCTTGACCAGCCCGGGGAAGACCATGCCCCCCGTCCCGCTGCCGACCAGACAGCAAGCCACCGCAAATACGCGGCGTTTGTCGAAATAGGTGGCCACTAGACCCATTGCGGGGCAGAACTGGAGGCCGCTGCCTAATCCTGTGCAGAGTCCCTGTGCGAGAAAGAGTTGCCAGTATTGGGTGGAGAGAGAGGTCATGAAGACGCCCAGAATCTGCAGGAATGCGCCGGCGCAGAAGACGTGACGAAAATAGCCTGCGTCCAGCGCTCGTCCCGAAAAGGTACCCACGAAGAAGATGAGAAACATCTGGATGGACCCGACCCAGGAGATTGCAGACTCGGATACCCCGAGGTGGGTTTGGTAGTAAGACTGGAAGACCCCATAACTGGCGAGGTAGCCCCAGGTGTTGAAGCAGACGAGGTGACCCATGGCAGATTGAGTCCATGCCATGGCTCCGCCATCCGGGGGCGGCTTCACCACGGACTCTGTGGTAGAGGTTGAGATATCATCTTCGATGGTTTTGGTCATGGTTGCTGCTGGCGCAGGAAATTAGGAATCCAGATGCTTGAACAAAGGTGATTGAAATCGCTCGATCCTGACTCTAGAGCTTCCGGGCGCTATTTCTACTCTTTTGTAGCGAAATAATGGCATGTCTTTTGATAACTAAAACCCCAATCCTAGAAGCCGACGTGCAGTAGTCATGAGTCGATAGCGGTATCGGCCGAGTACTTGGCTCCCGATTGCCTAGACACTAATCGTAGTCAAGTTCGATAATGAGTCACGGGCCATCATCGACTATCCTTTCGAGCAAGTTCGCTTGTTCGTCCTGTGCAAATTTGGTATTCCCCGATTTCTCCGCACAAATGACAGTCACAACAGCCAAGCATGCAGCTGACGAGGACGCAATGCGGCCGCGGGAACACCTCTTCGACCCTGTTGCGACTACCTTGGCATGCATGGATCGTGGAACTCCGTCTTATTTGCATGCAAGCGTAAGCTTTCTCAAGCCGAGGAAATTTCCATTGCAGAATAATGTCGCTATTGTTGGGTTGCCCCCTTTTTTCCTCTTATCGGAGCGGGCCTTGAAACGTAACATGCTTTAGCAATAATATTTTGACATTGACAGGGGTGTGTGATGGCCATTGGTTTAGGGGTTTCGGGACAAAGAGCTTTGCTCGGATTTGGTCTGATGCAAAAATGCTGGCTGGGGATCCTCGGTGTTGGGGAGGGGACTTGACAGTGAATTGCGAAGTAGTTCTCTCTGTGCTCACGAGGTGTTAGCTCGTATGTATACTGCTGGGCTGAGGTTTTAACGACACTTGCCATTCCTGATGCCACTCATCATGGACGGGCGATGCAGTATCATATTCTTGCATGATCGTGGCTAGACCAGACTCTAAGCGACCGTAATCTTCATCCAAGAGACAGTCTAGATGATAAGTGACTGGGTGACTTTAGGGACAGAATTTTGGAGTGTGAGCATGGTAGAGGCAAGGGAAACATCCACGTGATGCTCTATTAAATCCAGAGACTCGACCTTCTTTTCTTAGTAGTCTCATTTTGCTGGGACGAATGTTCTACCTGCCTTTCCACAACACTTCTTAGTCCACCAGATAATTTAACAAACAGCCTTTGTTCTACTGTTCTCCCAGTCTTTCAATCATCTTTATGAATTTTCTTAGCCTGACTTACACTACCTTCCTCCTTTTATGCCACTTGGCATGCATTAAAATGGAAAGTACAATATCGTTCACAGGTACCTAGTAGGTTCAATCCATTCGAACCGGGCAGGATTCGCCAGCCCGCGACCAGCTGCAAGCCCACGATGGGTTTGATCCATGAAAGGATCTATTCATGAAAGCAAGAGGCCAGATTGTCCCTGAACCTCAGATGTTCAAGGGCTTGCGATTTGCAGGTATCGTGACTTGAGGACCACACCCCAGATTGCCGTATACTATGGCTAATGATCTTTTTAAATAGTTAGGTAGCCGCACTTTCACGACCTATTCGCCGTTGCTCAATGCTCTCTTTCGATAGTGGCAATATTTCGAAGCATTATTGGCTGTTAGTTGATCATTCCGTGACATACTTTGGCTGGCCCGATATGATATCTCATGTCTAATCGCTTGTGGAGGTTATTTAGGTTGCCCAGTTATCACCAGTCCATTGCCACACAGAATCCAACTTATTACGTTTTCTCAAGGCATCTCGACGACTTCAAGGATGACCCCCACGCCTTCAAGGAGATGAGTCAACAAGCATACGACTTTGGAGCAACCATGGCTCAACCTTAATACGAGAGCATACGGAGACAAGCACCCACAGTGGAGAATTGTACCCGCAACTCCCGTCGCGTGGTTCATCGGAGTGACTTCGCCGACGAGTCTCCGACGGGGCCCTATTTCCGAAGCCAAGAACCCACTCTTCTCTATATAATCGGCCAGTCCACTTCACAAGCTGAAGGTGAACAAACTCCCATCAGCCTTCACAATGCCTCGCAAGATCACAGTTGCTGTCGCGCAAGCGAGCACTCAGTCATCCCTCTCCACTACCTTGGATGCTTTGCACCGGGTGACTCGCCACGCAGCGGCTCGTGGCGTTCACTTGATTCTATTTCCGGAAGCCTACTTGGGTGGCTATCCGAGGACATGCGATTTCGGAACAGCGGTCGGCTTCCGCCAACCTCACGGTCGCGATCAGTTCCTAGAGTATTTCAACTCCGCTGTCGATCTCGGCGACACCCCAGCCGGTGCTGGTGACGACTGGGTCGATCGGAAACTCCCTCTTCCGCGGGGTAAGGATTACCGCGGTGACGGCACTCGTGAGACCCTTGAAAGGATTTCCCGGGAGACGGGCGTCTTCATTGCATGCGGTGTGATCGAGAGGGCGGGAGGTAGCCTTTACTGCTCCGCTGTATACGTCGATCCCCGCGATGGTATGCTTGGAAAGAGAAGAAAGGTCATGCCGGTGAGTGTAAATTTGAATTTCCAAGTAGCTTCAATGTGTCGATACTAATCTTCTTTAGACTGCTTCCGAGCGTCTTATCTGGGCACAGGGCTCGCCATCCACCCTCAAGGCCATCACTACCGAGCTCAATGGGGTCAAATTGACGATCGGTGCCGCTATTTGCTGGGAAAGCTTCATGCCTATGCTCCGCCAGAGCCTCTACGCCCAAGGTGTCAACATTTATCTGGCACCCACAGCAGATAGCCGCGACACCTGGCTTCCTCTGGTTCGGACTATTGCTGGCGAAGGCCGCACATTTGTTCTCACCGCCAACCAATGCGTGCGGCGCAGTGAGCTCCCTGGCTGGATTACGGGAGCTTCTTCCAAAGAAGCAGTTGAGAATGGCGACGAATATATCTCGCGGGGTGGCTCTTGTATCATTGGCCCTCTTGGTGAGGTGCTCCGCGGGCCGATCTGGGAAGTTTGCACTGATGATGCGGCAAACCCGGATGACTTGAATGACCCAGCTCTCGAAGCCGCTGTGTCTATCTCAGAGATCGATTTGGATGACTGCGAGAGAGGAAAGCTGGATCTTGATGTCACCGGGCACTATTCACGAAACGATGCCTTCAAGTTGTCCGTTAAGGGTCTGGACCTTAACCCTCCTCCTCTGTGATCGATTCTTTTTATTCATTAAGACCAATGGGGAGAAAACAAGGAAAGCAATTAGAGACACTGTACATACAAAATTGATATCCATATTATACATTGCATTCTTAGGTTCCTGATCACTTCTCGGCATGGTCTCTACCCCACAACCCCGCAATTAACTGGCCTGGTGCCTCAGAAACAAGGCAGGGATATCGTACCACACGACTGAGTCAGCATCTTCCGCAAGGGGAATAGCTCATTTCAAGATTCGAGGATCACGACTGCCGATGAGAAGGCCGAATAACATCCAAGGAGAAATACCAAGTCAAGATTTATGAATTGGAATTCGCAGTTTGCAGTCAGACAATGAATCCAACTAATGGATGTGTCAGATAGTGCTGATGATCACCCTGGAGAGGGTAGGACAATTGTTGCAAAGCCAAGACCGGCACTCCTAGCATGCAGGCGCTGCCGTGCTCGCAAGCAGAAAGTATGCATACACCTAGCGATTTATACTTGGACTATTAACGTTATGGATAGTGCAGTCAGTCACGACCATGCAGTAACTGCGTCCAAGCACATGCTGGTAAGTAGAAGAAAAACTGACGTCTTTCTTTCCCTCTAACCGGTGAGCGATTTGTATAGCTTGTGTCGCGAGCCAAAAACCGCCAAGGGAAAGTCGAGTCAATCCGGAGTAAGCAAATCTTGTGGAAGCTTACAAGATGAAGCTTTGGCTGAATGTTGCAGGTATGCACGGGCTCTTGAGGAGCGCATACTCGAGCTCGAAGCCGAGCGAGAATCCACCGGACGAAAAACCCGCGCCACCGTGGGAGCATATGAGATGTCCTCGTCTGCGAATGTTGCAGGAACAGCGTCAAGGGCTCATAGACTTCAGCCTCAATTGCAGCGCGACCCGCCCGTTGAAAATTCACCCCTTGCGGTCAATTCTCTACATGCTGAAAGCATCCGCGCTCAGAGCACCCCGTCACTCACCATCCTCACGCCACCTACACAGCCTTCTCCTACCGGACTGTCAGTGGGGGCAGTCGAGTACGATGAGACAGGTATCTCAACAGCCACCCAGAATAATCTCATTCGAATCTTTCTTGAACGCGTCAATCCTCGATACCCGTTCCTCCATGAAGAAACGTTCATCAGCTGGTACGGGGCATGGCAATCTGCGAAACGATCGAGCCAGCCACTACCAGCTGAAGAGAAGTGGAAGGAATTCTTCGTGAAGATGGTTAGTTGTGCAAACTCGTTTGATTTTGTATACTGAACGTGTCCGGTAGGCTTTTGCGGTGAGCCTGCTGATTGCTCCACAAGTGTCCCCGGAGGACATGAGGACCTCGCAGGTATGTCGGTCCTTTGCTACTGTGGCATAAAACTGAACATTGAGATAGGCTTTATACTCCTCGGCTATGCCATTGCTCGGGACTGTTTTTTCATGTCTCGACCCAGTCCTACATGTGCAGGCCTACCTGCTTTGCACATTGCATGCTCTCCATTCGCCATCGTCACAAACCGTTCTCACAATGATCTCCGCTGCTATGCGTTGTTGCGTGATCGCACAACTGCACCTGAACCTGCCGACGAGCAGTGCCCGGGATGAATCAGTTTTGCTTGATTTACAGATACGACGTCGGGTATTCTGGTCCGCCTATGCCATCGATCGTCTACTTAGCTGGATATACCATGTTCCCTGCAGCCTCGCTGACGAGAACATCCAAGTCGAGGTACAATTGTCGCTTTTTCAATTCTGGTCATACGAAACTGATCGTAGAAATAGCCTTTTGCGAACCTAAATGACGACGAAATCAAAGCATGGGCCTCAAGGAGTGAACGGCCGGACGAGACCGAATCTATGCCTCGCATAACGCAGGTCTCATCCGCGTTGCATCTGCTTCGAGGCAGAAGGATCCAATCTCGAATTCTCAGTATCATGATGCGCACAGACTACGAACACCGTTTTACAGCACATCACAACTGGCGCTTGCATATGCTGGAAGCGCTTGATCAGTGGAAAATGCAATTGCAACCTCATAGTGACCCAGCCTCTGAAGGATATACGAGTGAAGGTTGGGTGGGTATGCTCTATAATTATACTATTCTTATATTATATCGGCCGACCAAAGAGAATCTCTGCCGATTTGTCAGCGAGCGCTGTATCACAGCATGCTCCAACATTCTGCATACATTTTGGATGTACCTAAAGAGACGCCAGACGGCGCAGCTTTGGCCTGGAGTAAGTGAATACGGTCAACTCAACGCAGCATTTCAAATCTGACAGTCCGCGTCGCAGCTTTTGAGTCAATTTGGTACAGGCATAATCTTGCTATACTGCCTTTGGGCAACACCACCCTCAGAAAGACCGGCATCAATCCAACTTTCAGAAATCACCAAGGCCATTAGAACATGCACGGTTATTCTTGCGGTTCTATCTGAGCGCTGGACACAAGCTGAAATCCTGCGAGACGTCTTTGACCTTCTCGCAGATTCGGTTGTGCAAGACACCCCTGACTGCGTGGAAGGGAATGGACTATCGACACAGGCAAGGCAAACAATTAAGTCCCGTTTGCCTATGCTGCATGTCATAATTGTAAATAAGGACATATTACGGATGTTGATGGAGATGGTTACTGAAGACTACCCTTGGACAGGTTACAGAGATGTACCAAATGTCTACCCCTGGTGCTCTGAAGACAAGCATGATGCAAACGGGTGTACATTGTGCTGGGAGGGTAGACCTATGGTAGGAGAGCTAGAGAGCCTTCCTCAGGAGGATTTGCTCTCAATGGGTCTGTGGCCATCGCTATATGATGACACAGGGGGATTGTACACTTCGCCTTCCGGGGAGTATCCATCTTTCCCGGGGTTGTTGGGATCTATGTAGTTTGTTTGTGGGAAGGCATGATCTGCATACTAAGAAGCTAGACCAACCATAAGGAACTGAAGGCCTGGGTTTGGAGTTGAGATTCATGGCCTCATATGCCCGTCCACTTTTTATTCTTATAACGACTCCTCTTTCATGCAAAATATAAATAATACTTGCGCAAGGTAGTAGCAATTGCGGTCAATAGTATAACAAACTTATTGCAGCCTATGACAGAGAGTTGCCTGCTTGTGTCAAGGGACGCCTTTGCAACTCGCGTTACTTTTCTTCTCAGAGCGTAACATCGATTGCAAGTGAGGTCACTATTCAGTCAAAACACTCCAAACAAATTCTTTCTTCTACATCGATCCACAACTTCTTCATCCTCCACCAAGCACCAGCAGAATCCTGAAAGCCTCCTCCAACTCACGCCTCTCACCTCCATCCGTTATCCCAACATCCTTGTCCATTCTCCAAGATGGCCTTCATCGGCACCGCCGCCGAAATCCGCGACGAGCTCCTCAAGGACGACGAGCCCAAACGCGTGATCATCCGCGTCAACACCAAGCGGCTGAAATCCCACGACTACCGCGGCTCCGCCTGCGCCCTCGTGGCCGAGATCTTCCCGGACTGGGCGACCAACGAGCGCATCCGCTTCCTGCACATCGAGATTCGCATCGGGCGCGCCTTCCTGGCCATCGACCTCAACAACGGCACCTACCGCCCCGTGGAGCTGGACCTGGAGCCGATCCCCGTCTACATCCTCTCGATCTTCCGCCGCAGCTGGGCGCTGGTGCGCTGGCGCCAGCTCGACCAGCACATCGCCGACCACCTGGCCCGCATCTGCATGCTCAACTACGATGACCCCGTGCGCCCCTACCTGGCGAACTACGATCTGCGGGCGTTGTGTCGGAGGCGCTCGGTGTTCTCTTAGGCTTGTGAATGGGGTAGTCGATGGAAGAGTATGCGTGCAGTGCACAGTGCACAGTAAAAAATATGCTGTGCTGTGCTTCTCTGCATCTACATATTGGTGTCGCAAACGACACATCTACATTCACATTTCTGGGAATTTGAACATCAACAGTAAGTCTTTTCTTTCTTTCTACCTTTGTCCTGATTTTCAGTTTTTCCTGCTAATAATGTACAAACAAATGGCTCTAGAATCAGCGCTTTGGGTTTCACGCACAAAAAACATTCGAACCTGCCGGCTTGACTCTGGTTTCGCAGGGATTATCCTGCTGTGGATAGTAGACGCATTTTTCGATTAAGCACAAAACATAAGGATCATCTAGAGATGGATATGCGTTCCCGGGGGTCTCGTATCTTCAATAATCAGGCTTACACTTGGAAACTTTCCTCGGGGTTTTGTGGTAAGCTTGCTTGCTAGATAACTTTGAATCTACTGCGGGTTTATGTAGATTCTGCGGTATTTCTTGTAATGGTTAAATGGTCATTATTTGCTATAAACTGCGATTACCAAGAAGTCAGTTAGCTTTCTATGGCGTTCTTATAAGACTTTGGGGGCTGGGATGCTCTATTCCACTGTGTGTACGGAAGTTGTTGGTGTGGAGCGGGGACAGGTGTAGAGATGGTAGATTCACTGGGGTGCATATAGAGCAAAGAACAAGATTTCCAACGAACAATTCATCTTTCTCACTGGCCTTGAAATGATTTTCACCGATATGCTTGTTGGTAAGTGAAAGGAATAGACACTCAACAATTGTAGAACCTCACCTAGTGGAGGAAAACGTAAGGAAATATATCTTCTTAGTACTGTATAAGATACCATCGGCTCATTGGTCTGTGGTTGTAAGACTGAGATAGTAACCAGAGCTGCCTAACTTCCTCTAGATTGGAGCCCTGCGTAAGTTTATTCTTCACTGGAGTGTGCTTAGGCAAGTCAAGTTTTCCAGATTCTTCTAATGACTCAATTTTGTGGAAAAAGTTGGCGATTTTACTGCTATGCTACAGATCCACTTGGGCGCGCCTTATCAACAGGCCCGTGGCGCGCCTTATCCATAACGAAGATGAGTTCCGCCATAGACCAACTAACCCAATCCGGCAGTGTAGGCGATTCAGCCAATCACCTCTTCCAACAGCATCCCAACCATCCGAAGCATGACTGCCCACGGAGCTGGACATCGACTGTAAAAAACTTATATAAAGCACCATCTTCACACATCTCGAAAATCCAATCGTCAACTAGTTGGCAACTCACTCTTACATGATCGCACAATATCTCCAAGCCAAGCTACCATGGTGAAACTCGCAGAATTCAGCGTCGAACGGGTATGACTTTCCCTTTCGCCCTCGAACCATCCCATACTAACGATAGCGGCACATGGCCAACAGTGGATGGACCTCTACGAGAACGATGCCCAGCACAACCTCGCAGAGACATGCTGCGCCTCCATCTCGTTGAACGACATCCTCCAATTTTCCGGCGCATCGTCGTCGGACGTCCCACCACTCATCGATCTCTTCCGCAAGCAGACGTACGGCGCCATCCGTGGATCCGCCGGGCTGCGAGCGAATATTGCGAAGCTATATCAAGGCTCCAGCGTCGCCTTGCAAGGTAACGAGCAGCAGCAGCAGCAGCAGCAGCAGAGCGCATCTCCCGCAGGCATCACCGCAGAGCAGGTGCTTGTAACCACCGGCGCCATCCATGCCAATTTCCTGGCCCTGTACACGCAGGTCGGGCCGGGTGACCATGTTATCTGCCACTACCCGACGTACCAGCAGTTGTACTCGGTGCCTGAGTCGCTCGGTGCCGAGGTGAGCCTGTGGCGCTCTTCGGCCGAGAATGGGTGGGCTCTGGATTTGCAGGAGCTGCGGGGGTTGATCCGTCCCAACACGAAGGTTATTATCCTCAAGTGAGTTCTCCCGTCTCTCCATGTAACAGAAGAGGAAGGTGTGTTGTTAACATTGTGACGAAGTAATCCCCAAAATCCCACGGGCGCGGTCCTCCACCGCGAATTCCTGCGCAGTGTCGTCGAGATCGCCCGGGAACATAACCTTATCGTCCATTGTGATGAGGTTTATCGCCCGCTATTCCACTCCCTGCCTCAGGAAGAGACCTCTCCGCCATCGATCTTGGAATTCGACTATGAGAATCTTGTCTCCACGGGGTCGATGAGTAAGGCTTTCAGTCTGGCAGGTTTGCGGATCGGGTGGATTGCGTCCCGGAATCAAAATCTCATCGAGGCATGTGCCTCGAGTCGTGATTATACCCTTATCTCTGTGAGTCAGGTTGATGACGAGATTGCGACGCGCGCGTTGAGTACTCCGTGTGTAGAAAATCTGTTGTCCAGGAATATGGAGCTTGCGAGAACGAACTTGGATATCCTTGAGACGTTTCTGAAGGAGTTCAGTTGGGCGGTACAATGGGTGAGGCCGCAGGCGGGCACGACGGCGTTTGTCGAGTTTGTGGATCGGCAGGGAAGGCCTGTTGACGACGTAGTGCTTTGTGAGCGACTGATGGAGACAACAGGCGTTATGTTAGTGCCTGGGGGTAGATGCTTTGGCGAGAGTGTCGATTTCAAGGGCTATGTGCGCGTCGGCTATGTGCCTGAACGGGAGGTGTTGGAGCGTGGGTTGTCGGCTTGGAGAGTGTTTATGCGGGAGGAGTATGAGAAATTGCCAGTTGTTTGAGGTTCTGGCCTGGGAATTGGATGTGATGCAGCAAGATCGTGTTCCGGATAGGAGCGAGATAAATTGACGAATATAGACGAAAATGGATTGAGATTTTACTAGGTGTCGTTTGATATGGGTCTTTTGGCTGAGCGTGATTGGTGTAGTTCTAGGTAAATGGCGAGATCGTACACGTGCTATATGTAATAGCAAGCATTCTTTGTATTGCATGTACGTGAGTGGGTGAAGGCCTTGCTGTGCAATGTAATCCATGTAATACCTTTCGGTCATGAGGCACGAGGAAAGCGATATTCAGTACCCAAAATATCAACATACCTCTCGTCCCGAACAAGTAGTCCACTTAGAACAGGACCAACTCCAGCCCAAGCTGTGCGAAAAATGCGTCCCATTGCAAAGTCGTCCTCGATGCCCAGAAAAGGTTCAACAAGTCTCGAGCTCTCGTGAAATTCCCCATTCCAAGACTCTGCATGTTGGCCATTCTTCCTTGAATGATGCACCGCTCGCTAGGCATATCTGTCTCACAACCAGCACTGAAGACAGGCCAGAGAATGAGGATATTCGCCGCCGAGAATGGGCGGATGTCTTGGACAGCACAAATGATACCTGCGACGTCGGCTCTGACTTGCGGGTGGCTGATCGGCAACTTTTGTACACGACGGTGTAGGTGCAGTAGAGCGGTGTGAACAAAGGCGCGATGGGTATGTTGTAACTCCAAAGCAAGTTCTCTTTTGCTTTTCATGGTTGTGTCGGAGACAGTAGTGTTAAGTAGCATGAAGAGTTCGTTCTCGAGGAGCTGGCTTTGCTGCAAGAACATCGCATCTTGTAGCATATCGTCTGACGTACCCGCAGTCATACGTTGTTGATGGATGAGGTGAGATAATTGAGTCAAACACGGGACTAATTCCAGCGAATAACCGCATACATCATCGATGTATCCGAAACTCTGACCAAGAAGCTCGTTCAAAGGCTCCTTTGCGATCTCGGAGGTAATTCCTATATGGCTCTGCCCCGATAGGCTCGCTATCAGATTCAGCGTCGTGAACCATTTGACTAGCGAATGGATATACGAATCCTGTACCCAGCGAGATTTCTCCTGCGCCAAGAAAGCATTCAGCAGCTGCCTGACTCCGCCGAGATGTGTCCTCCAGACGTGCATGTTACCGTTACAGACGTCATTTGTGCATAATGCCATTGCTGTCGCGACTGTCTCAGTAGGTAATCTTTGGCTTGACTCGCTGATCGTCGACCGCAGGCTGGAGATGGCAAGGTTGGTGAATTTCAGACACGCTATCTTGGACGACGGGCTTGTATTCTGCACCAGCCGGCTGTGATGGCTGCAGGCTGCGGCTAGTAGCGCATACAAAAGATGA